GCAGCCAATATAAGATTTCAATAAGCTGTACCTTCTCTCATCTATTACCAGTGTACAAAAACATACACAGATTTTTTTTTCGAGTAAAAACACATTTTGAATACTGAAAGCCTAGTGAGTTAAAGTTTTACTAGTGTCATACATATATATAATTTAAAATGTTATATATAAGATTATTATTATTTTATTGTCTTTATTATTATTGTTTATTCTTTATCATTACTAACTTGTTTATTCATTTTTATTGATTAATACCTATTACTACCCACCAACTTTGATATTTATGCTTTTTTATTGATCCTTTTAGTCTATTCATCTATTTATTTACTTATTTATTGAGTATTACAACTGTTGTTGTTTTTATTATTATTATTATTTTGTCTTTTCATACATTAATTTACTCTCTCTTTTTTTTCTTTACCTTTGTTTGTCTTTCATTTACTTTAAATTATACAAGTACATCTGCTGGGGCTGGGTGCCGGAGGGATGGGGGTTTGGTATCTGTTCTGGGGTATGCTGAATTTGTCTGTTATCTGTAATTAGAACACTATTGTTTTTCTAATATGTAAAATTCCTATAAACAGACTGTTATAAAAAAGTTTCACTAGTGTCTGAATTTGTGAATGATGTCGTAACGGCAGCAGATACAACTGAGTGCAGCTCATTACTGCAGGTCAGCACAGGTTCTCAGAGGGAGGACACACATCATTAAACTGTTCCTTGGGTGTGCTGTATTTTTAGTTTGTCCCTCATCATTAGGGCTTAAACTCAAGCAAACCATATTGAAGAAACTTGGACTTGTCATTCAGCCTGAATTCATTAGTAAATCCTTGTAGGATTTATATTCTGTAACTTTGTGAAAGGCCTAGCACCTTGGGCTGATAAAACACTACAACTTTGGATCTTGGTGAAACAGTCAGTCAATTTATCTCTGAGTGCTGCGTCAGCATAACGTTCTAGCTGCATATATAAACTTTGACTATCTCTGACACTTACAGAAGGAGTCAACAGTAAAAGTGAGTAAAGGTCTACTGTCTCTAGAAATCTGTAAAATCAAGCAAACATTTAAACACTGTGACTTCAGGTAACCAGTTATTCTTTTTAAAGGCACAATGAGGAGTTTTTACCTGGTTGAGAAGCAGACTGAAACTGATACTGGTGCCTCTTTATGACCTTCAAAATCCAATAACGAGCTTCAGCAGTAAGCCAATTTCGCTGTTGTAAAAAAAAATTAATTGTTAAAGGACAGCAAGATGAGGTTTTTGATTAAAAGATTAATTTCACATGGACAGGACAAGAGAAAACATGTCTAATTTTGTTCCTCACTGCAACTTTAAATTGTACAGATTCAGAAAGTAACAGAAGTCTGCACCAGATGAGGGTCCGCTTTAAACGGACCAAAGTTCATTTCCTCGGATAGTCCACTTCTTTTGGGCAGGTGTGAAAGCTCATCTGAACTCTGGTGCGGACCAAACAAGCGAACTCTGGTCCGCCTGAAAACATGGGTCTCGGTTCACTTGCAAGTGAACCCTGGTTCGGTTCGTATACAGTGTGAAAGCTCACCGGACCAAACACAGGACCAAATGTATGTAATGACGCTATACGCAGTGCATCTTGGGTAGAGGAAGCTCGGCGTCACTTGTTGCTATGGCAACACCTAACCACTGACATTAGCATTTGCTAGGTAGCTTAGCTCAATTGTCTGAACAACAATAACCCATAAATTCACAATTTGGCATATTTAAGCAAAATCAAATCACAACTATAAACTGTCACAGTCCTTCAACTCTGAGCTCATATGTTGTCACATGTTAGATCGTCAGAGTTAGAAAAATAACAGGATCAATTCCTGACAAGCTACCATAGCATTATAGGAACAGTTGTGTTCACTAACATTGTAGCATTCCATAAAATAATGTGACGAAGCACAATACAAGACAGCCAGTCCACCCCTGTTTGTAATCCGTGAGGTTACATACCCCTCCTACTTTGTCCAATCGACGAGCGCCTCTTTCAACCACATGATGCTACTCGGAAAGTTCAGTGTGCTTTAGAAATCACAGTGTGAAAGCAGAACCGAAACAAGTGAGAAATGCAACAATGTTGCGACTTTCAGCTCCCCAATCAAACCAGGTCCGCTTGGTCAGGTGTGAAATTGACCTTAGATCCAAGATTGGCTATGCTGATACAGGATTTGACCCAACCTTTACACAGCATGCAATCCAAAGGCAATTTAATCTGTTTTCAAAAAAGTTAATTAGGTCCTTTTCAGACATGCGCTCAAAACATTTCAGGAAATTTTCAGGGACCCTCCTCCAGACCGCACTGTTCACTCATACATTCTCACAGAGTGAAGTCTCTCCTGTCTGTCAGGTGGGGGGATATGGGGGGATTTCAGGAGGTTGATCATAGCATCTAACAGGCGGTGCTGTAGTCACGATGCATTTAGCAATCATATACAAGAGTAAAAGAGTGAAACCACCGATCCTGTCCCTGAATTCTTCCAGCAGTTTGTTTTTAGGTCTGCATAGATAGATACCAATGATTGAATGACAGTTGTTTTTCACCTTTTCATCAATGTGATGAGAAATCAGAGGTATCCACAGAATTGAGGGATGAGTGAAATGACAGAATGGTGGGGGGGAGTGAGTATTATAAGATTTTATCCCATAAGTAACACAGGTCAACTCTAATGCTTTGATAGTAACAATTTTCAATTGGGCCGACCAGAATTTAGGTAAGTAAGAGGGTTGAAGTTCACAAAAATGCCAGTCTGACAGTCCTCACTCTTGATGCTATGAGGCAACAACATGTACGAGCAAGAACGCCAAAAATAAAACCAAAAAGTGTGAAACCACAGATAATTATACACATGACATCACATCACTGATACAGTTTTTCTGTCATGCTCATTATTTCAGGGAAAATATCAGTTTAGCTTAATTATCCTCCTTAACATTCAGGGAGGATAGTTGCTTTTAATGATTTCTGAATGGATAATTTAGATAATTCCTTCATTATTTAGTTGAGCTTGACTGGAAAGTGACTGTGCAGTGGATTATTGCAGATATGAACTAATAATCCTCAGTTAAGATCTTCTTACCATGAAATTTTGATGTTGCAGTAAGTGTCTGCATGGTCTCTTATCTAGGCTACATCTTAATTACTACATGCTAGTGACCTTAGTCACAGTGTGATTTACTAATAACCTAAACATCAAGGCATTCAGCTGCTTGGTTAATTGAAAAAGACTGACTTATTATGGTTAGTACTGCATTATTAATCCATTTAAAGTACACATTCAGGCCTCTGACTCTGCTTCAGTCCAAACAGCTTACATGTTATAGATCAACGGAATATAAATATTGTTGTTTGTAAAAGTGTCTGTCCTCGTGACCAAGAATCTCATCAGGCCACATTCACCGTCAGTTGAAGTTTTTTCGGACTTTTGGATCATCCCAACTTTTCGGCTCCATAGGTCACCCCTGCCAATAATAGAGACAGCATGACAGAGGCAGACTGGATAGAGTACAGTGTACGACAGAACTGGTCAGATAATGATGAATCATGCTGATAGTATGGCCTCTGTCTGCTGCTATAAGTAGTGATAATATTTGTACAGATCTTTGAGTAGAGCTTTCTTTAAGAGTTTCGACCCATATATGATCTCAAATTGAGAATACATATATTTTGTGAGTAATGTCTGTTAGGTCTAAAACCTGCAACATTTACCTGATAACATATAAAGAAGAGAAAGACAATGGTATATACTCGAGGAGAATGGACCGAGATAGCTTCAGGTACCATGTCGAAACCACTCTGAAAGGTATTTCCGCCCAGTCTCTTTTATTTAGTCTTGTCCCTGGTTACACAATGTTTCTAAAAGGGTGGAGAAAAATATGTGTAGCAACGTAAGCACTCTCATAAAGCATAATAATGAACACTTGTGAATATGTGAAGGTCAAGGCGGCATCTAATGAGCTCCTTCTGATAACAGCGGCACCTCCTCAAAAACTCCCCACGATTTATAGCGGAGGATCCCTCACTCACACACCCCCACCTGCTGATAGGAAAGACACAGTCACAGAAAACTGAAAGAACATTGTTGTGCTGTGTAGTAAATCTATTGGAGAGAGAAGTTGGGAAACACTCTTATATAATGTATAAAAAGAGGTCAAAACAGTTTACACTTGTAGTATAAACTCTTACATAAGAATATGAGGAATAATGATAACTTCTATATACATTTATGCACATTATTCTAACAATGTCCAAAGACTATGTATTTCTGTAGTTGTTTATAGGTGCACTAATGTGTGACAATGTGTATCTGTGAGTGTATACGTGTGGGTATGTATTTGTTTGCTAAGCAGTACATATTTATGTACAGTATTTGGTTATGTGTTTGTGGAGTTATAATAACATATATGAAATTACAAGTTATTTAGATATATGTGAATCAACACATGTAGATAAAAAGACAACCAGTTGGATTTACCTGAACAATCAATTAACTTTTTTTTTTACATTTATGATGATAAACTCAGATGTGTGTTATAATTATTATCATATAAAGACAACAGTTTGTTATTAATATTGAAAATTACATGTCTCTAATTTGAGGTGTTATCACGTATCACGTCAGCATATTTAAGGGGAGCTAAGTGGATCAGTAATCTCCTTACTGTGTTTGTTAATATCATGTTATGTACACTACAGGACTACTACAGCAAGATCAGATTTGTACAAAAATAGTAGTTAGAAAGATAATAATTTCATATATATAATTTGCAACACAATAAACATGACTATTGAATAAAGAGTAACTTATCAGAAGACATTTTGACTATAATTATAAGGTATTTGAGTTATTGTTGCTTAGACTGCTTTCTTTAAAGTAACCTCCTCTGGCTTTAACAACAGCTTGGCATCTACCAGGCATTTGTTCCACAAGTTATTTAAGGTATGTTCCAGGGATTGCATTCCAAGCTTTCTAAAGTTCTTTAAAAAGAGACTGCTGATTCGTGGGATGCGTTTTTCTGACCAATCGATCCAATTCATCCCACATAAGCTCAATTGGAGAAAGGTCTGGAGATTGAGGGGGCCAAACCATCTTTTGAAGAACACCTTCCTCTTCTTTTTTGTCTAGGTAACCCTGACAGAGCTTGGCAGAGTGCTTAGGGTCATTGTCTTGCTGCAAAACAAACTTATGAGCCACAAGTCTGAGTCCAGATGGAATAGCATGGTGCTGGAGGATGGAGTGGTGCTGTTCCTTCTTCATGATACCCTTTACTTCAAACAAATCTCCTACTCTTTTCTTAAAGAATCCAAAATCACTCTACAATGTGTAGAGTTGAGAAGACGTTTCGCCTTGAGAAGAAGAAACATCTTCTCAACTCTACACAGTCCAGTTGCCTGATTTTGGAGTCTTCAAGAAAACCATGACCTGAATGAATGAGAATCTACATGGACAAATCTCCTACTCCATCACCTGCAAAACATCCCCATACCATGGAACTACCACCTCCTGTCACACTCTGCTGTCTATCTCAAGCTGACTCTCACTCACCTGCCACACCTCACCCCTGCCACACCTCCTCATCAGCACTGATTCCCCACACCTGTGAGTGACAAGCTGCAGCTCCTCACTGCTGATTAGCCAGCCAGCATTTAAGTCACTCTGTGTCCCTCATTCAGTGCCAGATTGTCTTCGCAGCATGCACGACTATCCAGCATTATTTCTTGGATTGACTTCTCATTTTCGACTCCTGCCTGTCCCTGACCACGTCTTATCGTCTCAGCCCTTGGATCCCCTGTCAAGTTTCTTCGCTCCGGTGGGAACTTCAGGTTTTGCTGTGTTGCTGGCTTCCCGACCTACTGCCTGTCCACGGCTATCCTTCCGTCTGATCCCTCTGGAATTAGTCTGCCCCGCTGATTGTCTGCCTGGATTCGACATTGTCTCCATTTCGATCACGAGCTCAGCCTGCCCCTCGACAGTGCCGCTGCACTTCACAAAGACTCTCAGGTGTAGTGTGTTTTCTGTGTGCACTCACCTTTCTGCCTGTTGGATCTGTTTCCTGTGGATCTGTTTTCTGTGGGACTTGGAGATTCTACAGAGACTGCTAAATCAATCCCAGTATCTTCAGTTTCCTGTTTACTGTGATCTGTTGCAATAAAAGTAGCTTCTAAACAACTACCTGCTGTTGTGCTGCACTTGGGTCCTACATCCACACCCCTGACACCTCCATGCTGAATTGTGGGGTGTAACACATGGTGCTTTCAGACGTTCACCAGTTTGTCAGCGGACATAGACTCTGCGTTTTGAACCAAACAGTGCAAACTTGTTTCTAGTCATCATAATTCCAATTTTTGTGAGCTTTTGCCCACTCATATCTCTTTTTCTTGTTCTGTGGATGAAGTAGTGTATTTTTGCAGATACACGACCCTTCAGACCAGCCTTTCTCAAATGTCATTTCACGGTTGTCAGAGATATGGGTTTTGACTTTGTCATCTTGATTTTCTCCCTTATTTTTGGTGCTGTCTTTTGCCGATCTCTCTTAATGGTGACAATGATATGTTTATCCTCTGCTTTTGTAGTAACTCTCTTTCGTCCAGGTCTTTTTCTATCATCATAACTTTCAGGTTCCTCTAGTCTCTTCAGAGTGTAGTGGACTCCTTTGTTAACCCTCTGATGCATGAATTATGCAATTTTCTCTTTCTGTGTATCCTTCTTTCCTCAATGTACAAATCTGTACTTTTGTTTCTTTACTCAGTTGCTTCTTTCTAGCCATTTCTGCTGTATTTTGAACACAGTTGAGATTTATTAGGATTTTTGTATGCAGGCTCTCAAAAGCCAAAAAGTTAAAGTGAATAATCCAACTGTGATTTGTTTTTTTGCCTTTGCACTGAAGTTGTGACTGCAGGTAAATGGAGTAAAATGGTGCATTTCCATGAAAGCAACATCTGATCATAGAGTAAATACATCCCAAATACATAAAACTCGTGCTGGATTTAAAAAAAAGCATTGTGAACAAAAACTTGAAGTTACTCCCAACTGTTCGGCCTGTAATGGCCTTGCTTCCAAACTTTTGGCCTGTAGCATATGAATATGTAAATGTGTGTCTGATCCTGTATGTGTGTGTACACTCATCATTGGCTTTGCGTGTCAGCACAACATGATGTATTTACAGAATAACAATATCAGTATGGCTCCATATAACCCATGAGTCATAGACAAACGCATAACAGGAGAGGCTGTCATGGTTATTTTATTTCTGCAGACAGGAGACACACAGAAACTGTGAACAGGCAGGTGTGTGTGTTTGTGTAAAGACTGACCATACTTTACATTCACAAAAAGGGAACACACTGAAGAGATTTACATGAATTAGCTCAAATCTATTCTTTCAGGTCCTTTATTTTTGTCTCTCTGCTTTTACTTTACTGTGCTAAAAATACTACAGATTGGTGTCATCTGATCTGGTTTTACACTTTTTGCTGAGGATGCCTATATAAGGATTTTCCAAACCCAGTGACTCTAAAGTAATGTCAGATGAGCTGAATGAAGCAGGAGATTTAAGTTGTGGTCAGAAGCAGGAGATAAGGAGTGATGGAAGGAGAAGGTCAGAGATGTAGAGGCCTGAGGGTTGGCAGAAGAGATACACACCAAGAAAGCACATTGTATGTGTTATATAGAGCACAACTGTTTACATACAGCAAAGCAGAGAAGTGTATATGGAAGGAAAACATAAGAGTCCCTCATTGAATCTTTCAGTCTGTGACAGTGGTAATATCTGCAGGTGACAAGACTTCAAAGAAATCTCCATGTTGTAAAAAAAGTTAACATGTATTAAAGACAAAAAAGGCTCAAACAACAGTTCATGCATAAAGAGTTGTGTTCTTAAGACTTTTCTACAGGGGGTTGAAAAGAAGCTATAGAATGTTTGGACAGACAACAGCTTACTGAACACATTTCACACTTAAATAATACTGAAGGATCAGATTTAGGTCAAAATCTTGCAGCTACCAAATTTCATAAATAACATTTTTGGCATTTAACTCTCATCATATATTATATTCATGCCATATCATGCATATCCTTACTTCATGGCGCCCTAAATACTGCTGATGTGTGGGTTCTGTCAATAACATATGGACTTAAGTGTGTTACAACTGCGACGTGTTGTTGGAGTGGAAGAGTTTATGATTTGTCAAGCAGGATAACGGACTAGCCAGAGCACTCAGAATAATACATGAACACAGCACTTAAGACTCATATGCAGCATATATATATTCTGTACACATCTTGTTTTTAATGCAATAAATATTTGTATGGCACCGATAAATACATTGTGGGTAACTTACAGGAAATGAAACTGTGGCTCAAGACCTGTTGAAATATAAAACAAATCTGGCAGTGGCTAAAAGATTTCCTTTGTGTTCAAAGACTGGAACCTGTCTGTGATCATTAGTAAGTGAGCACTGTTACAAATAGTTACACAATTCAAAAAGTGAATCTGATTTGACCTGAACGAGATGTTTGGATGACTAACAGGATTTTATCACCACAGCCTTAGATAGTGAGAGTCTGGCAGGGTTGACTTCATGAGGGATCAAAAGTGTAATTAGTCATTTATGGTTTCTTTTTCTGATGACTGGAGTAGACAAAGAACTTCATCAAAAACATCTTATATTTGTCAGCAAGGGTGTTCTGATTTGCTGTTAAAATGCTGCAAATGGAAAGAACCTACTTTGCAGATATCTATAGTCCTGTTTCTGTATGATTCTTGGCAAAAGGCTCTTTTAAATATTATCATTTTCAGAGGTTGTCCAGCCACAGTATTGAGCAACGATAAGCTCTGGGTGGAACATAACCTCATAACAGTCCCAGACTGCGCTAACACATAGAGGGAAAACTGACAGTGTGTCTTAACTGAGAATTTTTAACTCTAAAATGAGTGTGTGCAAGGTGAGGTTACGTGTACAAAACATACAGAGTGTGTGTTTGAGTAAAGTGAGTGGGTGGGTGTTCACAGGCTAGATGGCAGGCTATAGCTGCCTGATGGGGGGGAGGTTGAGGGTGTCCAGAGCGCTGTGGTAGAGCTCTCTCAACGCTCTCAACAGATAGAGACGACAAAACATCTGGTTGAAGAGATGAGGCAGCGGCTCCTGGAAAGGGAGGGGAAAGAAACTTTAAACGGCATCATGAATGACGTTTTGTCAAGTCATTTGTCAAGATGGGGCACATGGCTCCTGTGAGGAACTTTCATTTTTGTCAATTTTGGCACCCCCTGAGGACAAAGCAGTATTTGCTTATGAGAGTGTCTCATCCTGCTGACTGCGACAGTCAAATGTTTTATTTATTGTGAATATTTAACCTACCTCCTGCGTTAGCTTTCACTACACACCCACCATGTTAACGGGTCGGTTCCAACCCGTGTCTTAAATTACAAATTACACTACAAACAATTATCTATCATTCCAATTTGGTTCTCATCTCTAGGTTACCTTGTCAGGCTTCATTATCCATGAAAATATTGCTTTAATATTTTTTTTTGTGGGGCTCCGGGCTATTCTATGTCGGTGTACCCCTCACACATTTATACTGAATTGATCTCACATGTCTGGACATCTTGTTTTAGTGCAGGGGAAAACAAGGGAAATTGAGAATCCCCTTAATCTCACATGGTTGGGAGACAAGACAAGTGCCATAATTTCAACCAAGGCATTTCATAATTTAGTAAATTATTATAGTTGCTATTTTTTATTTTGTTGAAAAAGAGGTTCCTGAGCAAGTCAATAAGTCTTGATGCAAAAAAAAAAAACCTAAATGATGTGGTTCTTTTATGCATTTAAAACCAAAAACAGGTCGGTGCAGGCCCTGACGCAGGAGAAAGGTTAAGTCCCACCAGTTTCAAGCAGTAAAAATTACAAAATAAAAGTTGTCAGTCTTGACATTGATGGTCTTGTTTTACCTTGTTTCCCAAAAAAGCATTAATATGAATTTCCATCTATTTCATAAACCTTTAAATCTCCTCTTAGGAGCTTTAAATTCGTTTTCTTTTTAGTAAAATGTCATTTGAGGAGTTAATGAGTAGTTTTGAGTGTTGCCAACTCCTAAGTAAGGAAAGTCACTAGTGGCTGTCGTAGAAGTCACTAGAAGTCACAGAGTCTCCAAACTCCAGAAAAAGTCGCTAGATTTGTCGCTAGGCATTTTTTGAAAATAAGTCGCTAGGGGGGCCTGAAAAGTTGCAAAGTTGACAACACTGGTGGTTCAAGACAAGATTGCAAGATTTTCTTTGAACAAATATTTAAATAAAGAGTGAACTCATCCTCACCCCCAGCACGTGGACTCTGTTGTAGTACGAGCTGAAGTCTTTGCTGAGTGACACAAGAAATTTACATATCTGCAAAACACAAACACGTGACAGATAAAAATCTCATCCCTTGGTTTTCATAATATTCTTATCTCATTTAAACTGACCTGCTCAGTCTTAATATTAACCCGGGCTCCTCCCCCTTCAAAGTCCAACGCTTGTCCTGATTGGTCCAGCAGCTCAGAAAATGGGATGAGATAATTGAATAGGAGAAGCCACTCCCCCTGTCAGTCAAAGAGAGACAGCACTTTAGATTAACAATTTTATATTGATGGAATAAGACACTGTAATGTCTAAATTCAGGGGAGAGGAAGAAAAATAACCGAGAGCAGTGAGAGAATAAAAGTTAGTAGAGACGATAACATGGTACCTCTTCTTTAAGAGCAGAGAAGTCGAGCTGGGAGCTTTCAGGGATTTCTGGGTATAAACCTGCAGAGAAATGTGTGAAAACTGTAAACATGGAAAACATACATAAACATGCTTTAGTAAACATTTGAAACATAAGGATCTTTGACCTCATACTCCTGGCTGAATCCAACAATCAGACCAAAAGAAAAGGTCTTCTTAAGAATGCAAAAAGTTTGCCCTTCATTATAACTTGGGTTTAAGTTCTTTCTTTATTTTTTACCATTACATTTCCAGAACAATGCCAAGAGAAACCTGGTTAATCTCAGAGAGTCACAGCATTTATGTCAACTGACTGATATCCGGTGAATTTCTGTTGTTATGACCACTGCCCTGTATAAGTGCTGCACTCAAACTTTCCAGAATCTCCCTGCAGGGTTGTGGAGTTGGAAACATTATTTCAACCCTTCTCAGTACCTGCATGTCAAAAGGTTTAAAGAGGTGATACAATCATAGCCTAACATAATATTTTATGACAATTAACATTTCAAACCTTTGAAACCAATGTTGTCTGACTGAACGTCTTTTAACAATAATCAATACTGCATTTTTATAACACTCATAAACAAATCAAATCAAATTAACAAGGTGGAAAACAAGAACAAAATATTAAAACAAAGATTAAAAGCAACAATTAAAGCAGCTCTCAAAAGGTAGAGTTTGGTCAGTTATTTGAATAGTGACAGATCAGTATAGCCTTGGTTGTACCCTATCATGAACAGTCAAGTTACAATTCAAAAAGTAATGATCATCATTTTGTATCTGTAGACAAGACGAACATATTTAACCTTCTTTGTTGATTTTTCAGTTGACAATAAAGGCACGTATACAAGAGCAATTGGCTCAGGCTGTCAGTCCTCTGAGTATGTCAGCACACTTCTGGTAAACTTCTCAACACTCCTCCAGTGGTTGTCTTTACTTCTTTTTAAATGAGATATGGATTTTTCTTGCACTTTATTTAGTTTTTCTTCCACTCTGCGGTCATAGTCAGGCCACAGCTGTCTGAGTTATTTGTTGTTTGTCTGAGGACTAAAACGTGAATGCAAGTTCAAAGCTCACCCTTTTCCACTCCTCTCTCATAGCTGTCGAACAGAGTATGCAGTCTGGCACAGTTGTACATGACAAACACTCCTCCTCTAGGCCCTTTGGTGGACACACCTCCTTCTCTCTGGACGTCTAGTGTCACCTAAAGAGACAGACAGACGGTTATTCAGTATGACTGGAACAAATAGATGAAACAACAAACTGTGATACACCACAAATTTATTTTTTTATTTCCTAAGGATAAATAAAGTTGTATCTAATATAATCTAATCTAATCTCTAATCTAAATAACCCCTGAGATGGATGCTAGCATAATATACAGGTGATGCAGTCTGTAACTAGTCTGCACTGAAGAGATTGACTGATGGAGTGGGGGTACTGAGGTTCTGTCCTCAGCCTATCAAAAGACTTTTAAATGGCAAAGATTTCTCATGTTGACGCAGTTCAAGGCAAACATAGTGATAACAGGAAGTTTGATGACTCTTGTGTCAGTGTTTGAAGCATTTTCTTTTGCCTTTTTTCCTTTGCCAATCTCATGCACAGATGGCTTCATCTGTCAATAGTGCTGTCAATCATGGCGTTACACCCTTTATACCCTTTGTATCAAATAACATAACACAAATCTTAATAAAATTCAATACCTGGACTTAAAGCACCAGTGAGATACTTTCTATTTGTGTCAATGTTGGCATCCCCTGTGGACATGGCTGTCTTTGCTTATCTTGTCCTGTACAAACATCCAGCTGACTTCTGACAGTCAAATTAATTATTTATTATTTATTGTGAATATTTGATGTGTAAGGGGGCAGCCTTACTACTGCAGGCAGCCAGTAGGGGGAGCTTCAATTTTTGGCCTCAGTTTTGGTTAGCAGTCATGTTGTTTATCTTTTTACAAGGTCTATGGTGGAAACAAAAGTCTATAATGTTAACTCACAGGACTGGTGTGGACTGTAGACAGCAGCTCAAATCTGACAGTGGCAGAGGTCATGACCCTGATGATGTCATCCCATGTCTGACCTAGGAGAAGACATCAGGGAGTCAGTCATTTTTTAAAATCTACTTAATTAAATTCATCTGGTGTTCACAAGTTAGAATCATGGAAATTAAAGGACGCATGTGCACAAATACAAACACTGCAGCCTGTGCACACACATACATACAAGCATACACACACCGACCTTCTACTTGGTCTCCATACTTCATCTCTGACGCCTCCTTCATCTGACCTCTTCTCAGCCTGTAGGAGAAGGAGGAGGAAAGAAACAGGAGAAGTTTCATTTACACAGACAGCAGGGCTAAAAATACACGGTGAGGCAAAGCAGCATCAACGCCAAGCAGTTTTACTTCAATTTAGTTAAATTAAAACTGCATTCAACTGTGCAGATAAGATTACTGTGCGAGAATCTAGTGATAACTAACATCTGTCTGACATACAGCTGCAAAGGGCAAAAGGAGGAGGAGATGAGGATGAGAAAAAAGAGACAAGAAATGACAGGGAGGTAGAAATGTAGAGAATTTAAAAACAAGGAAAGGACTGTGAGAAATCAAAGGAGGGGGGACAAAACCATTAAGAGAGAAATAAGTGCTGTGCCTTACTGCAGGTACTGAGCAGCAGTGAGCTGACATCCAGGAGTCTTCACAGGCCCACACACCAGATGTCTCTACAGGAACAGAGGAGGGCAGAGCAGATAAAAATAGCAACACAATACAACATATGATCGTGTTAATTTGTGTGTGTAGGGGGAGGGGCATACCTGTGTGTGCGTGGCTCCACTTGCTCTCCACAGTACTGCTATCTGCTGCTGACGGAACTCATCCTGACAGGAAGTAACATGTAAGACAGTTGCCATGGGTACCTATGAAGAAAGCAGAGAAAATGAAGAGAATCAATGCTTTAGTTGTCATTACAGTGTGTGTTTATAAAGGATGAATGTGGGTTTGTGTGTCTTACAGTGCAGTTGGCTGTTGCTAGGTCCAGTTGCGCCAGGTGGGAAACACTCTCTCTGTGTACTGAGACAAAATAACAATGTGATACCAGCATACTCAGTGCTAAAGTAAAGTTATCATTAGTTTATAACAAAGGGAAGAAAACTAGCTCAATATACAGTACAGGTCAAAGGTTTAGACACACCTTCTCATTCAATGTCTTTTCTTTATTTTTTTTGTATGACTATTTACATTGTAGATTATCAATGAAGGCATGAATGAACACATGTGGAATTTTGTACTCATAAAAAAAGTGTGAAATAACTGAAAACGTGTTTTATATTCTAGTTTCTTTAAGATAGCCACCCTTTGCTCTTGATGACAGAAGTACTTAGTGACTGACTCTGTCAGTCACAAAGTAACCCTGACAAGGCACACCTGTGAAGTAAAAACCATTTCAGGTGACTACCTCATGAAGCTCATTGAGAGAACAGCTAAAGTTTGCAGCGCTATCAAAAAAGTAAAGGGTGATTACTTTGAGGAATATAAAATATAAAATACGTTTTCAGTTCTTTCGCACTTTTTTCTTAAGCACATGATTCCACATGTGTTCATAGTTTTGATGCCTTCACTGAGAATCTACAATTTAAATGTTAATGGGAATAAAAAAAATGCATTGAATGAGAAGGTGTGTCCAAACTTTTGGCCTGTACTGTATCTATTTGAACTCACAGACGATTTTCCTGTTTGTGAGACACATTCACACTCCCAGAACCTGTCAGCTACAGTCTGACCACATTACAGCCTTTGGGAGTAAAAAGAAACTGTTGGTTTCTCTTACAAGTAAGTGTTTGTTTACTGACATCAATCAAAGCAATATTGTTATCAGATGATTGCCTGCGGGTCAGGGGAATCCATCGTGGTGGACAGTTCTGCCTCTTTTGCTGTCCACAAAGACGGTTTTCTGGCATATGCCCAGTGCTCACTGAAACACTAGTGGACACTTATTCTTGGACTACAGCTGTGTGTAATTCTATTGCAAAAGGTCTCATACCCTGTAGTGGTGGGTAATATAGTCTCAAAAGGTTATCATGATATTTTGGGACAATTTGCGATAACGTTATTTATGACGACATGGAAAAAATTACAGAACATGTTATTAGTAACTGCTGCTTCTAAACAACAGCATTTTTTTTACTGGTGTCAAAAAGGGGTTTAATTATGAAAATAAATTCACACATTTGCCATACATAAACAGGATAGAAGTTAATAACCCCCCAAAACAATTTTTTCCCCGTGTTTTTTATTTCTAAATATGTCCTCAAGAAACTCCCTTGATCCATTTGCAATATTTTTCCCTATGTGATCCTTGGGAAGGTAGCTGGTTTTAAGACAGGAGTTGTGCTGCATCCAGTTGTAGCCTGTGAAATGGACCGTCAGGCTGATATAGGAATCTGAGGTTTGGTTTGACTACGTCTGTCGTACAAGCAATTTTTTCTGAAGTGTTCAAAGCATTTCTTTCCGAAAGCCTGAGTTTGCTTCATGTCCTTGGTCTAACAATACATGACCGCTTCAGTAATGTCCTGCCACCGTCTGTTTTTTTTTTAAATGGTATGGAGTGTAGTGAGTGCTCCTGCAATGCTCTGTTAAGCCGTTTGTTTACTTTTACCTTGAAGACCAGTAGCTGCTTTCACGTCCCCATCATATGCCTTCAAAGAGCTGCTGATATTTAACTGTGTTTTATCCTTAGCTGTATTAGCCAAACCACATCCACACAACAGAGGTAGCTCCTGTTTTTGGCACTTGATCCTCATTTGAGGACGAGGTTGACGCTGCTGTGCTGCTCTCGCTCTCTGACATTGTTGTTGTGTATGCAGTAGGGAGCGTTATGAATCATCGCACCCCTACAGTGTAAATACCACGATATGACAAATCATCAAAAAAAGTACACGTACACGGTATGATATGGCACACCACTAATGCCCCATATAGAAAATCAAGAATCTCTCATCTCATCTTCATTGAACAGGGTACCTCCAAAAATAAAGGCATGATTCGATAAGCCTAGTTACACTCAGTGTTGAGTCTTCTTCCCGGTTACAAATCTTCCTACCAGCACCTTTAAAGCTTCTTATCTATATTTGTATTGTTTAAAACTTGTGTCAAACAAATGATATGCCACCATCTAAGTTCTAAAATACATACTGTGGCTTTTTCTGGGACACCAGCGGCTTCCTTGAGTCTTAACTGGTTGCTTTAGCCGCACAAAAGAGGAGAAGCGGGAGGTTATTGGCCAGGTCAAGAAATATCACAAACAAGTATACAATTTACAATGGGTCCACTCTGCAGCACAGTTTAGCCAATTTTAACAGACTCCAACCCAAGCACTCATCTTGGTTTGAGTGTATGCTCCACGAAGAAGGTTTTCAACACTTAACCTTGCAACCAGTAAGCCTGTTTGTTTTTCCAAACGTGTTCTTAGAAGTTTGCCGTTTTCTCCAGCAGATCAGATTGTCATTAAAAGGGCGAGTTGATCAGCATCCTTCCAGCAGAAATGGACAATAATGTCATTATTGAACTTTTAATATCCCCTTTGCAGTCTTACCTGTACATGTACCAAGACTGGGGTCATATCCAAGCAGACCTTCCTCCTGAAATGCTTGTTTTAGGTTGACCCTGAGTGCACCCTCATTTTCCTCCTCCACCTTTCTCCCTCCTCCACTTGTTCTCCTGCCTCTCTCTGTTTCCCTTTGTCTGTAAGAGGAGTTTTCCAGTGCTGCCTGAATCTTTTCCTCTAGCTCCTTGTTGGTCCAGTTGGCTTGGGCTACAGGCCAATTGATGCCCAGAGCTCTTAGAAATGTGATGATATTTGTGTCTTCAGGAATTGTGGGGCAATAGGACACTGCAAATCTGAGAAAGACAGCCAACATTTTAATAAGTGGTTGCACCTAAAGAGTGCTTTTCATGCTTGAATCAACCATCAGACTCACCCCTGTCTTCTCAACAGTGCCCCCATGTGGTCTGCCAACAGAACAGTCCTCAGCTGGCCCAGTGTCAGGGTTTCAGGAGTGAGTGTGTTCGGTTTTGGGTGCAGAGCTGGACAATTGATCACCACACACCCTTGCTTCTGACTCGACGGCTTCAGGTACTCAGTGGCTCCACCTGCTAGGACTGACCCGAAGGCTGCAGGGCGGTCCACTCGTACCCTCAACCCCTCACCCATTACCTCCCCACCAGCAACAGGGAGAACCCCACAGCCGTGGAGAGACAGGACTCTGGACATCACTGCTGGAGGGACCTAGGTGGTAAAAACAACAATAAGTCAGGGGGCAGATACATGTATAAATGATATTTGTGTTTAAGGAGGTAAAGACATAATGAAACACTGAATTTCAAGTAATTACATACAACAAAGTCCTAGATTATTAAATTCCATTTTGGGGATCCTTAAGGTTCTTCTTCTCTTGTGTTATATTGGTTTAAGATGATTGTTTTATTGCTTTTTACGAGATATTTTTTTCCATTAGCTGAAGTGACTTTTTTTTTTATTTTCCACCAGTGTTTGATAAGACTTATAAACTACAACTACACAGAGCTTTATGTTTTTTAGCCTTATGCTCATCTGTTAACATGTGCATCTGTGCTTAGCAATCAATTTAAAATACCTATTCTGCCATTGGAAAGATATCAGGTGTTGAAGTCTGCTGTAAAAAAAAACAAAACTCACTTGTCACACAAGCAGCAAAATGATGAAGTGTACTACCAGCTTAATAACAGCAGCATCCTCCTGCAAGAATGCACGAACACGAGCAGATGTTCCCTTTAGATCTAACTTTAACTTTTAGATACAGGCTGTTACAGAGCGTGACTTTGAGGCCAGTCGTTATGTTGTCTTTGTGTTTCTGTCTGACCTATATTGCCATTCATGAGTTACTAATCTCTGCTCCAGGCTGATAGTGTCTGATCGATAATGTAGACTCCGAGCAGCAGCCACTGAAAAAACCTAAACAACCCAAATAACGACATTAATTCACACATCTCCACGAGACTGGGCATCCTGCTCATTCATCATTGTAGGATTTAAACCTGCTCTTCAGTCAGGAGGTTCAGCTGACCCTCTGAAGCAGCAGCACCTATTGGACAAGACACGTTTGGAATGGTTGAAGCACTTTCAGTCAAAAGTATTACTGCCCAAACGCACTATATGCAGTCTATGGTTCACATTCAGGGAAACCATGACAGCTGAGGAAACCTGACAGGGATTATGGAAAATTCAGGGTTCTTCATGTAGTAAGTTTGACGAGTTAATAAACAATATTTTTCATCAGCAATACTGCTGGTGATCAGCTTTCATATCAAGTGACAGTTTCACCATCTCAGAGTTTTCAGTAAGTCTTGTCTTGAAATCAATAGGCAGCAAAAATGACCTTTTGGGCCATCTAAAATTCCGTCGAACACTGCAGCTGTGAGACACACTAACCTGTCCGTCCGCATACAGCGTGTTCAGCATCGTGGTCGGCGATAAGAAGTCCCTGTTCCGCAGGTTTTTAGCGCTGCTCTCCTTAAACCAAAGCTTCTCTGGATCAGGGAAAATCCTGTCGCCATTTACCCGGCTGGCATCCGGTACATTTTCTCGTTTCCCCCGCAAAGCGGAGCTCAGCGCCTGGACAGTAGGAGTGATGCGAAGGGGCGAAGACTCCTCGGTATTCTCCATCACATCAACACAAACAGGTGAGCTAGCCTTCAAGCTACACCAAACTCATACCCTACGTCGAAATTCTGTCACCCTGATTAATGCTAATCGGAATATGCTAAGCTAAAACACTGCAGATTTGCATGTCAATTCCCATTGGCACGATTACTCACCGCTCGGTGTCAGAAAACGGCTGCAGGGAAAGACTGCATAGGCTGTTTTGTCAGAGCGGTACCATAGAAGCTCAAATTGTGTTCCTTTACGGTTGGATTTAAGAGTTGGACCAGCGCCCTTTAGCACCATCTAGTGTGCGACAGGGTAACTGCAATCTGTACTGATGACTAAAACTTGTGTGGACATCAGCGCTCTTAATAAATTACAAGAGTCTAAGGTCAAATCCTTGAAATACTTGCATGGGGACAGCTCACGAAAAAGCAGGCGGCCTACATCTGCTTTACATGTGGATGTTTATTAGTACGTTATTATAAACTCAAGGCACCGTCCACTATTAGATTAAACTGATGGTCAAATTCCTTTCTGAGTCTTTGACAATCAAGTCAACAGTCCTGCAGTGCTTGCATCAGAAACAACCATGAATGCCTCTTGAGTGACTGGAATAACTAATTTCTTTGAAGGTGTGTGTGGGTACAATACACAGAGGTCAGTCTTTGTTCACTATTTGTAAACATTTTTTTTTTTTAACCCAACAATTATTAAATTCTTTTATGTAATACTGTATTATTCATCTCAATACATACGTTCTGTTTTGAAGTTATTAACCAGAACAAAGGGGTTGCTGTAGTAGTCCAACAGAATCAGCAAAAGCCCTCCACATGTCACAATTACAGGGACAACTCAGTTCCCTCCACCTTTGTAAAAATGACCTTTGAAATGAAATGATTTATATCCATTTATTTATTACATTATTTTAAATCAAATCTAAAGAGAAAAAAATGAGTAGAAGGGTCCTTCATGGGTCACCAATGCAATAATTCATCTTCCCTGCAAAAATTAATAAATAAATAAAATTTACTCTGAAAACTGCATTTGATGTACCAAAAACCAGACCAGTACATTAAGATTCCTATGAATTGCATCATGCACTTTTTTGAGAATGATGCAATGTATTTTTACCTAACTAAATCAGAAAGTTTTCTGTTGATCTGTTCCACTTGGTCTGATCATCCAGAACTATAACTGAACATGGCAGCCATGGTAGCCTTTCAGTTAAAGCCAGTAATAAACAATCTTTGCTGATGTCTCTGACTTTTAATGGACTTCCACAAATTTCATTTGGCCCATAGCACACACATATGTGTGTGTGTGTGTGTGTGTGTGTGTGTGTGTGTGTGTGTGTGTGTGTGTGTGTGTGTGTGTGTGTGTGTGTGTGTGTGTGTGTGTTTATTTATTCATTTTTTAAATATACCTCTTTTTGTTAGTGCCCCTTTATTTTGATCACACTCCTAATCTTTACTATCTATGCGAAGTGTCCGCTTTTTCCAGAAATGAGAGGTGATCAGAGAGGGCCCCCATTGCAGTGGAAACAGACATCCCTTTAACCGCCACTATAATTACGTCATAGCTGGTCGTCTTCCGGCGCGTTACTATGACGCGAGACTCGGAACGATAACAAGCGAAGTGTTTATGATCAAGTTGGAACGCTTGGTTGCAGAATTATGAATAAGGTTCATAACTGGCAGGAGAATGAAATACGAGAACTTTTGACGATCCGTGCGTCAGAGCAGATCCGTCACCTGATCACGGGCACGGTGAAGGACTCGGTGGTTTACCAGAGAATGAGCAAACTGCTGTCAGAGAGGGGGGTGTTCAGGACCCACATGCAGGTGATCAGCAAACTGAAGTCTCTGAGGAAGCACTACCTCAGGTATCATCAGCAAAAGATCCGGACCGGCTGCGACCGCGTCAATTGGCCATTTTACGACCTCTGCCACTGGGCTTTCGGGAATGGACCCCCGGCGAACCCGGTGAAGCGGCACCGGAGTCCCTCGCCCCCTCCGGTATGCCCACCCCCACAGCAGCTCTCTCCTCCTCTACCGCAGCCTCCTCCGCCTCCGCTCTCCATCAGCGACGAGCATCACGAAGTCGTAGTCGGGCTCTGGGACGATGTGGACGATAGGGAGATCAATAAGCACCTGGGTCCAGTGGAGGCGGAGGACGAAGAGGGGCAGTACAGCCCATCAGAACCGTTACAGTCCATCAACACCAGTAAGTACAATATCTTGAAGATTGTGACATGCAAAGATGACCTGAACCAGAATTGGTCCTAAACTAACCCAAGGATGTGGTTTGGAATTAAAAAAAACTTTAAGAGGTCATTTCAAATGTTGTACACTGCAGGCCAAAAGTTTGGAAGCAAGGCCATTACAGGCCGAACAGTTGGGAGTAACTCCAAGTTTTTGTTCACAATGCTTTTTTTTTTTTTTAATCCAGCATGAGTTGTAAGTATTTTGGGATGTATTTACTCCATGATCAGATGTTGCTTTCATGGAAATGCACCATTTTACTCCATTTACCTTTAGATATACATTGATGTTAACAGACCATTGCTAAATATATGTCAGCAAAAGATAATAAGGGCTTAGGTTTACGGGTGAAAACATTTGCAATAGTCACAACTTCAGTGCAAAAGCAAAAAAAAAAACAAATCACAGTTGGATTATCCACTTCAACTTTTTGGCTTTTGAGAGCCTGCATACAAAAATCCCAATAAATCTCAACTGCGTTCAAACTACCGCAAAAATGGCTAGAAAGAAGCAACTGAGTAAAGAAACAAAAGCACAGATTTGTACAATGAGGAAAGAAGGGTACACAGAAAGAGAAAATTGCAAAACGCCTAAAGGTGTCTAACAAAGGAGTCCACTACACTCTGAAGAGACTAGAGGAACCTGAAAGTTATGATGATAGAAAAAGGCCTAGATGAAAGAGAGTTACTACAAAAGCAGAGGATAAACATAGCATCGTCATCAGGAAGCGAGATCGGCAAAAGACAGCACCACAAGTAAGGGAGAAAATCAAGATGACAAGGTCGAAACCCATATCTCTGACAACCGTGTAATGACGTTTGAGAAAGGCTGGTCTGAAGGGTTGTGTATCTGCAAAAATACACTACTTCATCCACAGAACAAGAAAAAGAGATATGAGTGGGCAAAAACTCACAAAAATTGGACTTATGATGACTAGAAACAAGTTTGCACAGTTTGGTTCAAAACGCAGAGTCTATGTCCGCTGACAAACTGGTGAACGTCTGAAAGCACCATGTGTTACACCCACAATTCAGCAAGAAGGTGGTAGTTCCATGGTATGGGGATGTTTTGCAGGTGATGGAGTAGGAGATTTGATGTAGATTCTCATTCATTCAAGACGTTTCCCCCTTTTATCCAAGAAGCTTCTTCTCGAGGCGAAACGTCTTCTCAACTCTACACAGTCCAGTTGCCTGATTTTGGAGTCTTCAAGAAAAGAGTAGGAGATTTGTTTGAAGTAAAGGGTATCATGAAGAAGGAACAGTACCACTCCATCCTCCAGCACCATGCTGCTCCATCTGGACTCAGACTTGTGGCTCATAAGTTTGTTTTGCAGCAAGACAATGACCCCAAGCACTCTGCCAAGCTCTGTCAGGGTTACCTAGACAAAAAAAGAAGAGGAAGGTGTTCTTCAAAAGATGGTTTGGCCCCCTCAGTCTCCAGACCTTTCTCCAATTGAGCTTGTGCGGGATGAATTGGATCAATCAGTCAGAAAAACGCATCCCACGAATCAGCAGTCTCTTTTTAATGAACCTAAGAAAGCTTGGAATGCAATACCTGGAACATACCTTAAAAACTTGTGGAACAAATGCCTGGTATATGCCAAGCTGTTGTTAAAGCCAGAGGAGGTTACTTTAAAGAAAGCAAAGTCTAAGCAACAATAACTCAATTACATAATAATTATAGTCAAAATGTCTTCTGATAAGTTACTCTTTACACAATGGTCATGTTTATTGTGTTGCAAATTATATATATGAAACTATGATCTTTTTTTGGACAAATCTGATCTTGCTTCCAAACCTTTGGCCTGTAGTGTACTTCAACTCAGTTTTATGAAAAATACTTGATCCTTGTAAATTTGATACCCCTAAAGACACGACCATCCAGTTAAGATTTTTGGCTTTGTTCATTTGTACAGAGATCTCTCTTGATCCTCTTAGATTGAACACTATATTGTGTACTTTTGATGGTGAAATCCTCAAATTCTTGTAATTTTACTCAGAGGAACATGATTCTGAAATTGATGCGCTATTTCCTCGCACAGCCCCTCCCTGAGTAGTGAACCTTTTTTCACCTTTACCTCTGACTGACTCAGCCTCTCAAAATGCCCTTTTTGTTCCCAGCCATGTCCCTACATATTGCTTATTAACTTAAGTGGTTGGGAGATGTCCCACCAAGGGTTTTTTTTTTTAGTATTACACAACTTTTTCATTGTTCTGTTGACTCACAGTTGTTTTGTTTTAGTTATTTCATTGACTCGGTGATACTGTGTGGGTAATGTTGTGCCAGTGTGCTTTGTCTGTGGTACAAAAAACAGAAGCATGTACACACCGAAGTACACAGACTATTTTAGGGGTTATGAAGATAAAACAAATATACTAGCACATATAAACTTTGATATTGTAAACTGCATCTAGAAACAGCAGCAAACAAGGAAAGACTTTGTTTCTCTGCCCTCTCAGTCACGTATGCAGTCTCCAGCCTAAAAAAAGACTGTTGTGCTGTTATTATTCAGTAGGTGAAAATTAGACTGTCGATAAAACTTAAATTTAACAATTGTGCACCAAGTGGTCACACAATTGTCCAAAAACAGATCAATAAAAGTTTGTCACTGTCCTTTATCTGACAGGCTCCACTCTCTTTCTCTTGATTTCTAGCATATAAGACTCCATCAAAGAGGAGGAAAACAACAGTGATGGATCAGGTCTCGACTTTGGTCAAAGCCACCGTCTCTCAGCTCAGAGAGATGGATGCATCCATGCAGGCGCAGGAGGACGCCCGACTGCAGAGGCTTATGGATCACGAGAGAGAAATGCAGAACAATCTCATGTGTCAGCTGATGGCCATGCATGAAAAGATCAGCAGAGAAAGCTATGAGAGACATTTAGAGCTGGTGGACAGGGTTCTCTCAAGGTTCCCCTCACCTTCAGAACCTTCAGGTCACTGACTGACACTTCCAGTGCAACGGCACACAACAGGTTCTTCAGGTTAAGGGGGCATTTCTATCTCTCTTTCTATACATATATATATACAGTTTATGTTCTCCACCAGCTGACTGGTGCCAAAGCTAACATTCCTTATTATTTTCTCAGATTTCTTTATTATTATTGTCAGCCACAAATGTTCGGAGATCATCCTTCCCTTCAATCATGACTCTGTGCACTTGTAGCTGATACAAAACAGATAAAAACAAGCTAAGTCCACACTCCATCATACTCTGGGTCTCTAATGAGGTGAACTAATGTTTTTTTAAAACTGTTCCGGTCCTGAGAGGACACATGATTAACAAGGAATAATATCAATTTCAGCACGGCACATAAATAGTAGCCTGGCTGGGCCATCCTGTTGCGTGAATCACTTGCCGTTCCTTCCCACAACAAGTGGAAAGGAACGGCAAGTGATTCAAGCAACACGATGGCCCAGCCAGGGTACATAAATAGTCTGCTGTAGCTCAAAAGTTCCATAACAAAAATAAAAAATATATTTTTGTCAAATGTGTATCATAATGTAATTCTGTCATGCAACATACAAAAAACATACAAAATATTGGCAGTAAACTTTGACCAAAGCAGACACATGCCCCCCAAACTCTAACAACTACGGCTGTCTAAAGTTTACAATTTTACAACTACAAAGTCATTTGGCAGACGCTTTTATTCAAAGTGACATACATACGAATCACACAACAGTGGAGGACATACACTGGGAGCAAGGAGAGTTAAGTGTCTTGCCCAAGGACACAGTGGACGGACTAGGGATAGGGGGGAATTGAACTGCTAACCTTCCAGTTGTTGGACGACCGCTCTACCTCCTAAACTACTACTGCTTCTTAATAGTAAATTTAATCCCAATTATTTGCAGAATTTCAATTTCAAACTTTCACCAGTGTCTTGACTTCTGATCCAAATGAATGATTTATTATTATTCCAATTTTATTATATATATTATTCCAATAAAAGCTGCACTGCTACACCAGTGTGGTCTACAGTCAGGACTTTTTTTTATTCTTTTGTCTTTGCCCATATGGCAAAGCACTTTTTATTATCATCAGAGGAAGGAGACAGGTTCAAAGTGCTTATTAAGTCTAATACAGTGTTTCTTTTGATTTTTTTTTGAAAGGATTAAACTTTAACACTAAGAAATATGCAGAAAATGTCTAATCATCACAGTCAAAATGTTCCGTTACTCCAAAATAACTCTGATTACACTCTGACTTCCAGTATTCCAGGTTAATGCTGCATTTTCATTTTTCAGGTGCTTTAGTTTGCTGGCTTTCTCTATTACACACAGGTCTTGTGTGTTTGAAACCGTTGTTCTACACAACATGCAGCACTTATCCCAGCTTTTAGGTGACGTTTGACGCTCACTGACATCAGCCTGATGAGCTGCACCTGTGTGCTAAGCCAGTAGGTGGTATCCCACACACAGGCCTTGTACACACGTAGCTGGGTATTTTATAAACGAATATCCAACCCCCTCCGTTTTACAAAAGTCATATGCACACATCTTCGCTTCCAAATAAAATCCCAGCCACACAAAACCACATAAATGTACTATTGACCGTGGTTATAAGCATGACAGACCTGGAGTTGGTCGTATTTGCCAAAAAGTTTGACCCAATCTATCCAATCAGAGGGAGCTTCCCTTTCTCGTCATCACTTCCAAACATGTAACATAACGCTGTGTAGTTTGTACGTGTGGACCGACAAAGAGGTGGAATAGCTTTTAAGCATTGTTTTGGAGTATAATGTCAACAAGACACAAGACAGGTAGAGAAAGAGTTATTTGGTGTAGAATAACCGACTACAAAGCCCTTCCCCCCCTTTTGCTCCTCACATAAATATTTATTTTGTATATATCTGTGCCGTCCACTGCCTGACATAAACAAAGGCGCATAGGATATTTATCTATTAGCTGTCACAGAGAATGATGTTTAGGAATTCAAAACTCTGGTTACCTATGTCCACATGCAAACACAAAACCAGAGTTCTCTAAAATCTTCACTTTGGCCGGAGTTTTCTAAAAGCACCCTTCTTTGACGTATTCATGCGGCTTCGCGTGGATGCAGGACAAAATGTATAAAAATATATTCGTTTTAGCAAATACCCAGCTACATGTGTACAAGGCCTCAGAGTTTATGGATGAAATTTTAACTCGTTTGACACAAAATGTATGTTACTTTTGCCTCCTCACCTGAGCTGAACTGTTTTTTGAAGTGAACTATTGTCATTGAAAAGCCCAGTTGTGTTATTGTTTTCGATCACAGTAAAAATGAGGGCAGGATGATGCAGCTGGGGTCAACTATGGTGTGCAGAAAGACAGATAAGAAACCAATGACTGAAAATAAGTCTTTTTTTTTTTTCAACACAGTCACTTTAAATTGTGCTGTACTTCCTCTTTAAAACCTGTGCAGGTTGGTGTGAGGGAAACCCTTACAGAGCATAAGCTTCCTTTAGACTCTGTATGCTGTAAGATTGTTGTTCTTGAAACTCCTTTGTCAGTGTTGAATTGTTAAATATTCTGTAAATATCATGTTTGAGTCCTACCCTCATGTATGTGGACGGAAAAAAACACTCAGTGGACAGACTTAAAATTCTCAGCTTTATTTCAAATATTCATTTGAAAGTAATAAAAAGCTGAGCCAAGACCAACAGAACCAAGAAAGCTGATTGTTCTCTGGAGGCTGTTTTAGGAGTCATTCATGGCTGACACGAAATTCCCGGTTGCGATCACAGTTGTCAGCAATCCGGGAGAAAACGTGTCATTGAGGAAAAACACCATTCAAGCTACACTACAGCCAAAACACTCCGCTTTCAGACTGACAAGTCAGCATCACACTCAGGCCGTATGTTAGTCAGTTTCACTTTCTGTATTGATTTTAGAGAAACAAAACTTAATCTCACTTTGAATAGACTGTCTGAATAAGTGAGCAGTTTCAAAACACGACTTCATGTTTCTCCGCTCAGCCATTTTCTTTGTGGCTCAGTCAGCCAGGATGTGCATTTTTACTGTACATACTTTTATACTGTTCTGGACTGTTACATGTTTGACTGTTTTATTCAACTTCTTTTGTTTATGAAACAATAAAGACTGAATGAACATGGTCCCATTTTCATGTGTAAAATGTGTAAATGATGATTATTCTGGATGTGATGTGTGCGGTAAGAAGGAGGAGGCTCTGCTCCATGTCTTCTGCTCTGTAGTGGCCCATCTGCTCAGGATGTCCTGTGCATTGTGGGATGGAAACGGACCCCATAACCAGCTGAAGCTCACTATCACAGCTGCATTATGGGTTCCGTTACAATCCCACCCACCAAAACAAGGCAGACTCAGGGCTCAGGTCTGGTCAGGATGACAAGCTTAAAGAGAGAAAAAAGATACTTACCAGAGTAAAAGGAAGTGAATCTGGATTTAGATAAGGATTTAAGGACATTACATAGTTTCAATTCCATGGGCCAATAAAATCTGGAAGTGTCCTGTCTACCAGTTTCTGTGAATAAATAAATCCATATTTCATTGTTCATGTACGCAGAACAGAGGAGCCATTTCATATAGTCAACTATGAAAAAAAGAGTTCAGATTGAAGGAAACACATTTGGAGCATTAAAAGTCATCATCATCTTGAAAAGTTGAACACTGGAACTACAGATAACTGCAACTCTCTAAAAGCTCCTCTGGATTAAAAAAATAAAAATAAAACTCGCTTTTTTAGTTAATGAGAGACAGTTCAACATTTTCTGCATGAGAAACGTCTATTAAATATGTAAATTGACTGTAATTCTTACAGCACCAGTGGCTCTACAAATATTGACTGAGCAAAATGGAGGAGCAAGTTAGCATCATTAAAACATTTATGACACCACAACACTAAAAATATTCAGTCCGTGATCAAAGTAACACCTCCATTTGATCCAAAGTCTAATATCTCCTTTAAATGTACGATTTTACAGTTTTGATGGACTGACTTTGAGCAAAAATATGTTTCTACCATAGGAAAAGGTCTTATATATGAGTCACTATTTTATAGTTATTATTTTTTAAATAACATGTAACAATGAGTAACATACGACAGTAGAGCATTCCAGAAAATTAAAAGCATTCAGAATTTGGATTGTTTTTTTAAGTGTTAATTTGAATCAAAGTACCTTCATAATGACATTCTCAGTTCTTTGAGATGCAAAGTCCCGTTTCCCCTTCCAGTTTAGTAAAACTAGCAGATACAAGATTAAAACAGCAACTTAACACTGAGCATCGTTTCCACTGATGGACTCTGAAAGCAGAGTTTTGTTGTGTCCTCTGTCTTTGGCTGCTAAGAAAACCTCATTTGAAACAACTGGCCATGACTCACAGTCTATTGAAACCAGGCTTCTGCTGATAGTAAATTCTTTCACTTTGATTGTCATGTCTTTTGAATGTGTGAAATAAGAGGGATGCTAATGGAAAATCTCTGTGCTCCCTTCCACCCAATGGATAAGAAAGGCGTGATGTGACATGATATTGTCAAATTGAGAAATTACCTTGGCTAGAATAAATAAAAGAAAGAAAGAAGAAAATATTTACCCTAGTTATACATTAATTGCTTGTGTACAACAGGCCTACATCTTCACTCTGACACACCTTTACAGCAGCTGCAGAAACAAAAGTCAAGAGTCAACAGGTTTGAAAGAATCAAAGTTCACTGAAATGAAAACTTAGCTGCTGAAACTCACCCGTCAGAGGAGCCTCAACACAACATTCAGAGGTGCAGAGCTGGAAAAAAAAGGCCTGAAGATTATTGTCAAAGTTTGATTTCAGAGACAGTTTTTCATGATGCATTCTCAGCACAAACTGAAGCAAATTAAACATTGAGATGAGCTAAGAGGTTTGTGTTTCAGTGAGCTGTCACGACAGTCACTGTAAATATACATAAGGGAAGGTACTTTAGATTTAAACAAGGGTTACGTTTGGAGAATTAAAAGTCTATCAGGGATCATTTTTATAGTTTAACACTGGCATTGTTCATACAGAAACCAAAACGTGCTGACTCTTTAAACATCCATTAAAGATTGTACATTTACTGTGTGTTACGTAACCAGTCTTGAAAAACCTGTTGTGAATCATCTGAGATAGTGCAGGAGAGGTCAGCCTGAAAGAAGGAGCCGATAAAGTGATAAGAGGAAGGAGAGAGCTGAACAAAAATTTAAGGAAGAGTTTCAAGTCCTGGGAATTTCCCTTTGAGGTCTAAAAATGATCTAGATATTGACTCAAAGCTGCATTTATTTTTCAGGTCCTCAAGACTCTAAAGAAGGACAGTGAAATCCTTAGTGAGTTCAATAAAGAGAGAGCTTGAGTAAAAGTAACAGGATGAAAAACGCTTTCGGTTTGATATCCATACTGTAACCTAAGATAAGGACGTCTAAAGGCTCTATGAAAACTATCAAGCTTATTTCTGGTGGTAAAAATGAAGATTTATGAGAAGAATGTGAGGACAAAGTTTGTGAAGTAAGAAGTCAGATGAGGAGAAAGGCAGAGGTGAAATGAGGACTCCTTGTTTCAGACAGCTAACAAAGTGAAATCAAAGTGAAAGTACTCCTTGAGTTGTCAAAAACACTACACACCCAATGATTCTCACTTGACAGTAGAACTTGATACAAATATGTCTTCAAATGTTCCCCGGCAGCGAATAATACATAAAATTTTGTAAAAGTTCTCACCAACATCTCAGAGCGTTGCTCCCTCGGCTGTCGTCCTGTCCGCCAACAGCTCCTGGGGTCCAAACTTCCTCTTTAAATACTCAAGAGATTCCTTTCACTTTCACTTCTCCTCATCTCAAAACTCCTCCTTTCCTTATCTCATTGACTCCCTCTTTGCGCCCTTTTCTTACTAGAGAGAGAGAGAAAGAGAGAGAGAGAGCAGCTCAAATTAGGACTTTTTTTTGTCTCACCTCTAAAAAGAAGTCAACAGAAAATGTAATTGTACTTTAATCCCTCTTTTACAAAGACAGAGCAATAGTGTCCTCATGAACACATTTTCTCTCCTTACTTTGACTGTATTATTGTTAAAAGACAAAGACATGGTTTGAAGTTTGAATTCCAGGTATATTATACATGCATATACACTTGTTATAATGTTTCGTGAAGAGAAAAGTCAAGTCCAGAGTCACCTTTTAACATGTGAGCAGTGTGTTTTGCCTTCACAGTGTTCTGTTTAACTCTGATAGCTCCTCCAACAGTGAATGAGCTGTTTCTTTTCATACAGTGGTTAGTTTTTTAAAGTCTGCCCTTCTATAAATCAAGACTTAAAGTGTGATGGGTTAGTTCACCAAAAACCCAAAAAAGGATATGGTCGTATAGAAGGTTATTTTTCCAGGGAGTGATGATCACTCAAGACTAGTGGGAAAATTTGCTGGTGTTACCTTCACACAGGAGTCATTACCTCCACCAAGGAGGTTATGTTTTTGGTAGCGTTGGTTTGTTTGTTGGTTTGTTTGTTTGTCTGTTAGCAACTTTACGCAGAAAGTAACAGACGGATTGACCTGAAATTTTCACCAGAGGTGGGTTTCAGCCCCAGGAGGATCCCATTACATTTTGGTGGTGATCCGGATCGCCTTCTGGATCCAGGAATTTTTTGAAGGATTCTTTATCATTGTGAGATAGGGGAAATTTTGGAATTTTTGCATTTAACTCTATTAAAATGGCCAGAAATTACACAAAAGGATCTCAATGAGTTTTATGAGGTGTCAAAGGTTGATCCTGATCCAGACAAAATTCCGGATACTGTGATCCAGAACACACAAAATAAGGGTGTCGTTATATATATACATATATATATATATATATATATATATATAGATAGATAGATAGATAGATAGATAGATATGTTCTAACCTCAGTACATGAGAACAAATGTTTTCAGCATTTTTTTATTATGATCTGATTTGGATCATTATGGGCTACATCTGAAAAAACATCTCACAAGGTTAAGATATTTCATTTTGCGTTGACAATTTCCCTTTCTCAGTGAAGCTTTAGTCATTGCTTGATATAAACTGAGTAAAAAGAAAAAAAGCACGATTTAGTCAATTTTCAAAGGCACAACCATGTGTTGATCAAATGTTTAAATCCATCTCTTTATACAGATAGCAGAGGCTTTTGAGAATAGAATCATTTTTACAAGATAAACATTTGAAGAGCAGGCAGCCCATGCCTCAAAGAAATCTATTGTACTGTTGAATTTACACAGATATTTAAAAATGTATTTATTCTTATTCACTTTTGAGCTTTGGCCGCACCTGTCATCACAGAGCTGTTTATCGAGGTTTTTAAAGAACTATCATTCAGTGAGTTGACTGAATTAAAGTCAGGCAGTTTGTGAGGCTGCCGACTGTAGGTACTTTTTTTGTTGTTTGTTTTTGGTTTTCTAAATAATGATTTGATACCTTGTGAGGGTTTACTGTGTGAGTAAGACGTGGAAACTTGGTCGTTTGTCTCTGCCAGAATGTTAAGATCAGAGACTTGAGCAAAGCACTCAGTTGAGTCTAATGGGAAAAAGTTGTTTTGCTAAGTCGTGTCCACAAGTATCAAGTACCAGCGCATACTAGCAGTAGGCTTTTACCTGGTGATTTGTGTGACAAAACTTTATGAAATAATTTGGTTGGGATTTAACCAGTTTGGATGTCTAAAAATACATATTTTTGTAACATTCAAAAACACGAAAATGACTGAAATGTCACAGACAGAGATAAATACAACCTTGATATTAGGAAAGAACAAAAGGTATCAAAGAAGAACGAATGCTGGCACTGCATGGATTCATCTTTGTGTGCTGACTCTGTGCCTCTGTGTTAATTAGAAACACGTCCATGTGACATGATCGATGATGGGAGCCAGGTGTGACCAACAGAGTGTGACTGGAGGAGTGCCATCGTCATGTCTGGGTTTCAGCCTGGAAAGTCCGGTGGATTTGGCAGAACACCTGATCCCCCCCCGAGGACCTCCACCAGCAGGAGAAGAGAAGGTGAGGTTCTGCAGGTGCTGCTTGATCCCTGAGGACATCTGAGCATCACTCCCTTACATTGTCCTTGAATGTCCTTCAATAATTTTCCAACTGGGCATCCAGTTTAATTAAAGGGACCTGAAGTAACAGGTCTGCAGTATGTAAAGCACAAAAAGAAATACTGTCTCTATCTACAGTCAGGTGATCGATATTATCAATATTACTCATGTGAAAGATAAAATATACCAACATTAAGATTTCTATCACCATTGGTTCAAGTATTCCAGTCTTAAACCAGAACAGAAGAAACTGTACAAATGTGAAGAAGATACTACCATACATAAATTCTCTGCCTGTAAGTCTTCTTTAGTAAGAGTGCAAAAGTTTAGCATCAAAATATACAAGAGACTAATGAACCGATTGACCTGAATATGGGACAAACAACCACCTCCTATACCTGCACAATAATAAAGCAACAACTCTTCAATCAACAATTTTTCAATCAATTTTTTTTTCATCTTTTCACATTGAAAAGATGAAACGTTATTTATCCCACAGAGGGGAAATTTGCTGTGTCAACTACACTGAAGGATCAGCACGGCAAACTGAAGAATAGGTACACTCATCACGCACACAGTGTACAGATAACTATATGTAAAAAAAAAATTTGAAAAAAGTTAACAGAGCTATATAAAAATATCATGTACAAAATAAGCGGCAAACAATAGAAGAAAAACAGTGAATAAGTAAAGCTGGACATGTTATTGCTCATAATTGAGTAACTGTTCTTTAGCAAAATGTAGGTATTTGCCCTTATATCTTTTTTTAATTATAGCCTGTGTATATGACACGTAAAGCTAGCAATGAGTTATTGTCCGTTAATTGTGCTAAAAAATTCTGGACTATTGAGAGAAGGCTGGTTAAACAGTCTGACTGCAGCAGGAAGGAAGGGCTCATAGTATCTCTCTGTCACACAGCACGGGTGAAGAAGCCTGTCACTGAGGGAGCTGTTACAGTTACAGTATTCTGAAGGGGGCGGGAAACACTGTCTATGAAAGACGACAGCTTAGCTATCATCCTACTGTCCCCCTAAACCTCAACAGGAAAACACACTGAATTGCCTAAATCTATGAAAATGCGAGTCAGTTTATACAATGGTAAACTTAAGTAGAGTTCAGGTACCCCAGAATTTTATATCCCACCACTGATATTCTTTCTGTGTTTAAAAAGATTTGTCTGTCTTTACACTTTTAATCAAACTTCTTCCAAGTGTGCTCATTGAAGGCCTGTTTCTGTCATTTAGCACTGAAGAAATCCCCATCTCTTGGCTTTCTTCATTAGACTACAGACAAGTGGTCTCTCAGTGGTTAAGCTGACGGTTAGACATTCGACACAAGCTGCAGCATGTCTCCCTCTGTTCAGCCTCTCCTCTGCAGGTAATATGAAACTCAAGGGATAAACTTGCATCCCTTTGCAAATTGCCTCCACATGTTATCAACTCAGTACATTCTTCATCTGTAAAAGATTGTCTTTAAAATGGCTCAAATATGTATGCACAGTTGTATAAACGACAGTCAGCATCAGCTCATGGAAAACATAGGCTTTATTATTGGGCAAGGTTTTGCCTAAAAATGGACAGACATTTTTTCACAACATGGAAGGCATTGGAGAACTCAATCACACGTGCACTGATTGATAAATGCTTCATTCCCTTTCTTCACACACTAACAGTTATAGGAACACAGACGATGCATAGATGACACTGGAAGGAAGACTGATGGATCCTTGGAAGAGCAAAGTGTGTGTGTGTGTGTGTGTGTGTGTGTGCGTGTGTGTAAAATCTGAAATTCTAACTTGAGGGTCTCGCACGTAGTGTGGTTGCATAATGTGAAAGTTAAAAGGATTCTCCATCTGCAGATTGAATGGTTCATGTCTTCTCAAAACAGGCGCTTCTCATAGCTGTGAAAGAGAGGACACAAAACACAGATTACACAGCCATCCCATCATGCTCCCTGAGGTTTCCTGTTAAGACAGACTGGAGATAAGAAAGAGGAAGTTTAACTGAAGGTTTGTGTGGTTTGGGGTGAGACACGAAACTAAGAGCTTTCAATACAATTTAAAACTGAACAAAACGCCAATCTGACACTGTCTCAGTTACATGGCCTATGGTAGAAACATACAATTAGTACTATAACCCCAATTCTATCAGAGTTTAGAAAAAAGCTCATTCAAAAAGGATTTTGATAGTGTGCCACTCATTCAAAGCATACATCTAATTGACAATAACACAACACACCACTAAAATTTTGTATTGTTTTGAAAGGGAGTGTAATAACAACAATAATAATAAGACATTATGTATACAGTATGCTGTATGTGTGTACCTGTGCAGGCTGTGAACTCCCCCCTCTATTTGCGCTGACGCTGTTCTCTTTTCAAATTTCAGATCGCCAGAGTACATCATAGCTCTGCACAGAGGGAAGAAATGGTAAACTTTCAAATACCACAGTGGAGTCTGCTTTACTGAAACATGAAACTTATGTCAGGATAAAAATTATCGATATCACATAACAATTGGCTTATTCGAAATGTGAAAATCTGCCTTAGTGAGGATCTGTGATCGTGTGTTTTTACCTGAGCTGTGTGAGACTTTTGGCTCCAATGTCCTGACAGGAGTGCTGAGTACCAGCCAGCAGGTAGGGGATAAACTTGTGGATGGAGCCTTTGTCCTGCACCGCTCCAGAAACACCCTGAGCTACCTTAATCTTATCACTCTCACTGTAAGGGGAGAGGTCGGAAAGGGGAAGAGAAAAAAATGAGAGTTAGTGATGTGCATTGAAATTGAAAGAAAATATCACTGTACACACATCTTTTGGCAAACAGGTATATTACATATTAAAGAGAATACATTTTAGAGTTTGTGTTTGAAGATGCTTTAATTTGACCTCAAATCAAAATAAAGAAATAAAGATTTTCCTGTTCTGTCTTTGTCTTGGCTCCTCATTCTGTACTGCTACCACAGACTTGCTTCATCTTGTTCTATTAGAATGTTGCTGACTTGGAGACTCGGACAGCTGTACTGTAAAGACTTTAGTTGCATTTATATGGGAACTTTTATCAGAAAACTACAGCTACATCTAGTCACTTTGATTGGTGCACTCTGTTATTCCAGTCTTTGTGTACCTGAAGTATCTGGTCTGGGAGCCCAGGTTTTTGTCCATGGCATCAAGTGAGCCCATGCCACGGTATTTCTTCAGCCTTATGCCGTCAGAGAAAAAGTATTCACCAGGAGCTTCACTTGTGGCAGCCAGTAGAGAGCCCATCATCACTGAACACAAAGAGAGAAGTCAGCAGGAGGAACTTTGGCATCATCGATTGAATTCAACAATGAAAACTGATAGTCATCAGTCAAGTTAAAGTAGGGAAAAGCTGCACTTCATTTTTTACACTGTCACACGGAGGCTTAAAAACATCATAAAACAAAACTAAAAATCATTTAATTTAAAAACCCTTCTGAAACAGTTTTCCTGATTTTAGATGTTTGGTTTTCTGTGTGTTACATTTAACTCATCCATTATCGAACAATTCAAACAAATTATTCATCTCTTGCACACTGACCCTGACACATTATCTATCCTTACCTGTTGATGCTCCTAGTGCCAGCGCTTTGGTGATGTGCCCTACAGTCTGGATACCTCCATCAGCGATGACCGGTACCCCAAAACGCCTGGCGTACTCTGAGACTTTGTAGACAGCTGTGGCCTGAGGTCTGCCGCAAGCCAGCACTGAACAGAAGAATAAGGACAAAGGGAGATTAAATGGTGCTAAATTGGTTCATTAAACATGTTTCCATTCTCAGAATTACTGCTAAATCTTCATTATTATTATTTGTCTTACATGAAAAGCAAACAAAGTGCTAACACAGCAGCTCTGCACACAAAGTTTATGTTGCTTTAAATTTTAAAACAGTGTATTATTCTTTAGGTGTAACAAACTCCTATTCAAACATTGTCTTATATAAACACAGTTTTGAGTGGCATGCAGGCTGGACGTTCCAAGTGTTAAAACAAGACAGTGAGCTGACAAGCTGGGAATACAATTGTTTCAAGGCTTTCCAAATGAAAAGTACGAATAAGGAAGTTGAATCTGTCACGTCAGCAGATAAATACCATAACCCTCTTCCATTACTGATGTCTTTATTTACTTGAATTCTGTCTGCTTATTTTATTTCAATCACTGAGCTGAAATCTTTCCTAGTTTTCCTTCATACTGCTCCATCCTGGCAGCTCAGATTTACCAAGTGCCAACAAAGAGAAACCGTTCAGTTCCTTTTTCCTTCCACTGTTCTTCTGCTTCCTTTGAGCCTGGGCCTACATGGTACTTACCAAACCAATAATCCTAATTTACCTCCACCCACACACTGTAATCTGGGCCTAAAAGGGTGAAAATTTTCTATTCTGGGATCAATACAGCTTTAGAATTGCTAGTAAAGGTTCCCCTCAGTGAATTATATTCCAATAGATTTGTATTTATTATTGAAATAATTCAAGCGTTGCAGCCCGACATGTTAAAGCTGCAATTTAAAGGTGAGGTTTTCAAAATCTGCATGTCCACTTTCCCAGAAAAGTACAACACAGCAGCCGAAAATAATACCATTGAAGGATAAGTGGCAGCCAAAACACTGCACACTTATCAGACATGCTACGAATAGAATCTGGAGTTGAGTAAAACAATAACTGGTTCTCCAGCATCTTTACAGAGTAAACACCAAATTCTCATTCGGTGCTTTCCTCAACTCTGTGCTGTTTGTGTTCACTGAAGGTCAGGCTTCATCGTCACAAACACACAGCTACATCAAAAAGACTCTCGGGTACAGCAGAAGCCCAGTACAGACAAAATAATTACGATAAAATGTGAAAAACTTTGAAACAATGAAGAGAAAGTTGTGCCAAGGGAGCAGAATAATAATCTTTGTTTATACTCCTGAACTCTTCTTTAGTATTTAAGTTGTTTTAATGTTCTGTCGTTAAGTTTTCATTACATGAAAAAATGACTTCAGCTGCAGAGGACACAAATTAATTAAAAAAAAAGAGATTCATTTGTAAAAAAATAAATAAATAAATTTGGCTTTTATCCATAACCCTGCTCTGCTTAAGTGTACCAACTCTGCTGAATAGGGACACCTTGTGGTTATCTTCTGCATTGCAAAGCTACTCTGCTGTTGGCTTGTTTCAACACTGGGTGTTACAAATGCACGAGCTGTAGTGTGGAACAGACACATGAGAGGGGAGGGGGATTGAGCAACAATCCTCTAACAGTGGCAGCACACTGAGTTTCTGGTGTGGACCCAATGCACACAGCGCAGCACATGGAAAACTTTGCTCCCATTGACTGTGTGTTACAATCATCATGAAGTACTCTGAGACAGCTGGTCACATATGTCGGGCAGTGCCACTTACATACAACTTGTCCCCTTTATTTTGCGAAACTCATCAGCGGTGTACTTTGATATACAGTATATGAATCTTGTGAAATGCTGGTTTTTCAAGGACTTCTTCAATTCAAGACAACAAGTGAAGCAACTGAGGTCTCTGAGCCAACAGGGCGCTTGTCCATGGGTCCACACCATTAGACTTCAATCTTCCACCAACTGATAGAGGTATCTTCAGGCACCCAAAGGACACAAGAGGACAGTGTCTCAATCTGTTGACACCATCAGCATCAGAGACCAGAGGGTCAGTGAGATGGAACAGCCACATTCAATCAATATGATGGACAGATTAGTGAGGAGGACACAGGATCAAGCAAAAACACCAAAACCCCAAAACACCCAAGGCCAGCTGTAAACACAAACAAAAGGACACTGCTACCTCTACCTCCTACCTCTACTGATGCAAAGCTGTTAACCAATCAGTGCAGCAGGCTGTGAGGTTGAGCCAATGAGGACTCATACAGGCCAAAGTGCTTGGGAAACTTACTGGAGTATCCCGTAACAGTGGTTGGGGTTTTGGGGCTGTGGAGCTTTATTGCTGGAGGTACACTGAGGGGAGCTGGACATGGACACAAACATACCCGTACAGAAAGACAGTCAGACCTTGTCCACATGTAGCTGGGTATCTGCTCAAACAAATATATTTTTTTAATACGTTTTTTCTCCTGCCATCCACACGAAGCTGCATGAATATGTCATTAAAACAGTGCTTTTGGAAAACTCCGGTCAAAGTGAAGATTTTGGAGAACTCTGGTTTTGCATTTACGTGTGGACACAGATAACTAGAGTTTTAAATTCTCCAGCGTCAGTGTCACTAATCGAAAACGTCATATACTTTGCGCCCTTGTTTATGTCAGGCAGTGGACTTCACCTTTCTTGTGTCTTGTTAACTTTGACAACACGGTGCCATGTTTCATGTTTGGAGAAGTGACGACGAGAAAGGGAAGCTTGCTCTGATTGGATAGAGTGGGTCCAACTTTTTGGCAAGTACACCCAACTCTAGGTCTGGCATTCTTATAACTGTGGTCAATACCACATTTTTGCGGTTTTGTGTGGATGGGATTTTATTTGAAAACGGTGATGTGTGTGTGACGTTTTTTTTTTGTTTTTTTTGTTTTGTTTTTTTTACGGAGGGTGTTGGATATTCATTATAAGAATACTCGGCTATGTGTGGAAAAGGCCACAGACACACCCCAACACCAGGTAAAGATTGAAAAGAATGAGGAGCAGACAAGAAGATGACAACCAAAAGTGAAGAATAACACAAGCAAAAGAGGAGAATAAATGAGGACAAAAGAGCTGATGATATGAAGGAAAGCTACAACAAGATGAAGAGACAAGAAATACAGACTAACAATAGCTGCCATATGCCTCTGGATCACACCAGAAAAAATCTAATTTCCTTCAAACTTCACCATCACAGTCTACAGTAAAAATCCAAAGCTTGTTTTTCTACACTAAAAACATCAATTCTGCTTACAAATGTCCTAAAAATGACCCAAAGACTGGCTCAAAACGCTTGTCGTGCATCATAACAGCTGTTTTTGTTAATATATCCAATGAGTTTATCTTGGTGCCTGTTCTGTCTGACCACTGAAGCCTGCTCAAACATTACCTGTTTTTTTAAAACCCGCTTCACTTCAAAAGGAAATCAGACAAGAGGAGCTCAAGTTAGCAGAACAAAACTGTCAATCCACATTATATTGAAGCAGAGAACATGTCACATTATCAGACTACACAGGAGGAGTCTAGTCATCCCTGACAATCTTCCCAGTTGGGCCCCTGACGGTTACCAGATGCAGAATTTCTTGTCTTTTCATGACAGAAAAAAACATGATAAAACAACTTATGTGTAGTATTAAAAGGCAGTTTGAATGCCATTATGAGGCTTGGCTCCATCTTAAGAACAGTCAAACACACTCAAATGGAGCCAAAAACCTGCCAGTCAAGTTGTTCCTTGGTCCTGTTCCCCTTTGATTGGCTGATCCATTCACTAATTAAGAGACCATGTACAAGATTGATGGCTGCTCTGTGGGTGTCATTGAGACTGCTGAGGTGGGAAATCGGCCAATCACCTTCCTGTGTGATGCAGATGGAGCCACTGCCCATTCCAACTCTCAGCGCATCTGCTCCTGCATCGATCAGGTTTTTGGCTTGAGCTGCAGTCACCACTGTGACAGACAGGGAAACAAAGAGGCTGTTAGAGCTGATAAGGGCGATGTCCTCCAAATGTGTGTGTTATGAGAAGCTACATTCCTTCTAAAGGAAGCAGAAATCAATAGCAATACCTTAGCTGGACATGTTACACATACAGATAAACATATTTACCGTTGCCTCCGATGACCTGTAGGGTCGGATACTTTTCTTTGATATATTTGATCATGTTGATCTGGAAGATTGAGTTTCCCTGAGAAGAATCCTGTCGGTACAAAAGGGATGCATGGTGTTGATTTTTACTGATTATCATGACTTTGAATGTCCACACTTAGGGTCAACCTAACACCTCAGTCAAACTACATGAATCCAGCTCAAATCAGAAGAGACTCAACACCTTCAAGCTTTTCATTCCCCCCACAGACTTTAATCATCAAGATATTCAATTCAAGCACTGTTAACAGTGTGTAGATTCAGACTTATTTCCTTGATTTGAAGATCTAGTCTGTTGTGTGCCCACGTGTGAAAAGCCCCCTTAGCTAAAACACTAAGTAATCTGTCTGAAGCCATTACAATCTAGTAAAGTAGCTCACTTCAAGACTGTTCGACGATACAGTTTTAGCAATGATGTCTCTGAATGAAGCACAAGCTTCTCAAAAATAGTGTGTTCATTGATTTTAGATGGTAGAAAGTCTTCCATACTACATGGTGTCTCTATCCCTACAGCTTGTACTCAAGTCTTCCTTACCAATACAACCACATCCACCCCGCTCTGTACTAGCAGGTCAAGACGGTATTTGTCATCATTGTGGGTGCCAATGGCAGCTCCACATAGGAGCTGTTTGCGGGGGTCTTTGGAGGCCAGAGGGAAGTCTCTGTTCTTCTTCAGGTCTGTGCGTGCGATAATGGACACCAGGGAGCCTTCCTCATTTACAATGGGAAGTTTGCCTGCAAGAGGAAGGGAAAGATGTTCATCATTTACCTTGAACTGCAACTGGAGTTCTGGAAATGATCTATTAATAAAAAAGTGAGTCATGAACTCGTTCATTTTTCTCACCTTTCTTACTCCTCTGAAGGATTTCATTGGCTTCTTTCAGTGTCACTCCAGCAGGGGCAACAACCAGATCCTCTCGTTTTGTCATCACCTGTGGAGAAGGTGACACACATGTTAATAATGGAACTCTCCGTGCTAAATGCAGGGAAAGGTGCAAACAGTTTGGGAATGGGATGCTATAATGGTGGCAATCTTGTATGCAGCCTGTGTTTAGTGGGAGTGGGAGGGATACTTGTTTGTATTTGGTGATTTTTCGATGTTTAAGATTGAAATTAATAATAAAAAAGTGGGTGGAGGATAAGGTGCTCTTCAGGAGCACAAACATTGTCTAAGCAAGCATGAGAGCAGTGACTTGCCTATCAGGTGTTGATAAAAGTCCATGGTACGGATGGCAATCAAAGCTGAGTGTCACAAAACCAAACACTTATGCAGTGCTTTTTCTCTCTTTGGTGACTCGCTGTTACATGCTGTCACATGACTTACCTTTTTTGCACTAAAACAGGTGTCTGAAATTTGTTCACTATGTCCTGGCGAAGATTCCGGTTATTTGAAACGCGTCTACTCTATCCCAACTAAATGAAGGATTTTTAACTTGATCAGAGAGCCCCAGATCTCCAGCTTTGATTGTCATCCATACCATGGACTTTTATGAACACCTGATAGGCCAGTCACTGCTCTAATGCTTGTTTGGAAATTAATGATGTTTTTTTCCCTCTCATTTTTAAGGAGGATAATATTTCATGTCTGTTCTGCATCATAATTTTCTCTTTGCTTGATGACTCCCTGGTGCTGTCCTTTCCCAGACTTTAAGAACATATGCTGCCTGAAAGTACTCTCTTTTTTACTCGTAAATTTGTTGGTTGTTCCCCTAACCTTAAGAGTTATCAATAACAATGTCTGCCTAAAAACCTGACTTACTGCATCCAGCCTTATACACAGAGATACTTTAAGTAACTATGCTTGGCTTATGACTGGTGCTTTAAGGTCAAACTCCACTCACCTCACTCAGTGGCAGGTTGTGATCCTCCTCCTTCAGGAAGTCAATGTCTCTGGATGAGATGATGCCCACCAGCTTGCCGCCCATTTTTCCATTGTCTGTGATGGGGATACCACAGAAACCGTGGCGTGCCTTGGCCTGGAAGACGTCTCGCACACAGTGGTTAGGACTCATCACCACAGGGTCAGTGATGAAGCCCTGCTCATACCGCTGGAGTGGGGAGGGAAGGTCGAGCGTGAGAAAAGGCAGGTTAGAAAAGGTCAGAGGAGTTGAAACAGGGGAGATGAGGACACAAATGGAGAGTAACAGTTTAGGGCAAGGGTGTAAGGGAATCAATAAGGGAGGGCTGGATTCAGTTAAACTGAACTTTTTCTGTGCCTACATTCTAAAAGCAGCATTACAGAAGGAGGCAGGAAAATAAACACACTTCTACTCCTTCAAACCGACAGCAGCAGATAAAAATGGAAAGAAGAAGACAAGAAGAACTTGATGTAAGATCTAGAGAGATGATCAACATTTAAACAGATGGAAAGAAAAAATAAAACAAGTAAACAGAAGACTTCAGAAATGAAAAAATGAAGGACGAGTGTGAACAAATAAAAAAAATACAATTATTATCACTACCTTGACTTTGCGAACTTCATTAGCCTGAAACTCTGGTGTGCAGTTGTGATGGATGAAGCCGATTCCACCCGTCAGCTAGGGAGAGACGACACATGGTTGAGCATCAGACCGCTAAAAACAACTAACCTAGATAAACTGCGGGTGCTGTGGTTTCTCTCACTTACTGCCATGGCTATGGCCATGTTGGCCTCGCTGACTGTGTCCATAGGAGATGAGACAAATGGGGTTTTCATGGTGATTTGTTTGGTGAGAGCTGAAGTCAGATCCTGCACAATAAATATGGAGAAATATGAAACATTATTGGACAATTTAACATGTCATGATGCTCAACTTTTTATTGCAACTTTTGAAAAAGAAATCACAGTTAGCTGCTTCAGCATATTGGGTCTGTGTGCTGTCTTACTGCAAGAGCTCTTAAGCTTTATCCATGATCCACTCACTGTTTTTAATAACCTTATATTTTCGAGCAGCTAGAGCCACAACCTAATCTTTAATCCACTGTTAGAGGGACTGGACTGCGAGAACTGGGAGAAAATGAGTGTTGCTGTAAAGGGGTTTGACAAACTCAATGTTCTTTTTGTTTAGACTTTGTAAGATTATACTTATAAATTGTATTCACATGAAATAACATAAGCCAGGACATGGGATATCATGAGCCATGACATCTAACTAATAATGGCTAATATCAGTAAACACTCTATGGTGATTTCTGAGGAACAGACAGTCCTGAGTCTGAGAGCTCTAATTGTACCACAGTTAAACTGCGTTTTATAACAAAAAATTATCCAATAAATGTCAAATAAATGCCAGTTTTCCAAAGAAGATATATATTCTTGCTTTTAAATGAATTTAACAGAGTTAATTTTATATGCTTATTTTTGCTCTAGCTTGTGGAGTCATTGTATGCCCAGCTCTGAGAATTTCTGCTGATCTCCTTAAACTAATCTGTGGCAGGGATGACGTCCGAGCTTGGATTAACACCACAACATCAGCTTTAATCAGATTTTCTGTGTTTTGGAAAATTTTATCACAACTCACCACTTGGTCTGCCGTAAAGTCAATGTAGCCTGGCAGAATGAGGAAGTCACTGCAGATGAGAAAAGCAAGACAAAGTTAGAGCTCATTCCTGACAGTGTGTGTCTCTCAACAGTTCTAAACACACATTAGACATTCAAACATGTAGAAACTAAAGACTGAAACATATTAGATCTCTGGGAACTAAAGCCCTAAGATTAATGTCAAGATATACCGGGCTTTGCTTTAAGGACAAGAGACCTAACACTGTAAAACATGATGTAGGTAAACATATCATACTTGTCCTATCCAGAAGCTCCCGTCTGTAAACAGTTAACTTGTCAGCAGAATATTTTGGAGGTCAGAAACAGAAAACCAAGAGGGTCTTCAAGGAAAGCTGTGAGTTCAATGACTCCTTGCAGGACGTGGAGTAAATCTCTGTTCAAAGACTCCTCAGAGAGTGTTGTCACGTTTCAGTGGTGGATGTGTGACACTTTTCTACTTGGTAAATTTTACAGGAAAGGTATGTAGTTCATGCTGCATGTGAGAGGCATGGAGACCCTCGAGGCGAGGAAAAAAAAAACATGTTTAAGCATAAGTGACTGTCAGTAACCTAAATATTACTAACATGACTTATGCCACTTTTTATATTTCACAGATCTAGCACTTATTGCTTCTTCTCACTTCTACTCTACTCTATCGACCCTGCTTTACTCACTTCTACTTTATTCTACTCACTTCAACCCCACCCTACTTTCTTTTACTCCACTCTCTGGCACTCACTTCTACTCTACTCTCTTCTATGCCAATTGCTTTTACTTTACTTGCTTCAACTCCACACTACTAGCTTCTACTCTATTTGCGTCTGCTTTTACTTTACTTGATTCTACTCTACTTGCTTCTACTCTACTCACTTCTACTTCTACTCACTTCTAATTCTACTCACTTCTAATTCTACTCAATTCTACTTCTACTCACTTCTACTTCTACTCACTTCTACTTCTACTCACTTCTACTTCTACTTCTACTTCTACTCACTTCTACTTCTACTCACTTCTAATTCTACTCACTTCTAATTCTACTCATTTCTACTTCTACTCACTTCTACTTCTACTCTACTCGCTTGATTGCTTCTACTGTACTCACTTCTACTCTACCTAGTTGTATTCTACACTACTTCCAATTCGACTTGCTTCTACTCTGCTCTGTTCTGGTCTTTTTCCAGTACAATTAAGAACCACCCCAAAGTGACTAAATGTAACACAATCACAGAACTAACAAAAGCACACGTTTATTGACTGTTGCCAGGTATTAGGAAAAGGTGGGTTTGTTTCTTGTGAAGGGTCACTCTTATGACTCATCAAGTGACATCACTCCCTGGCCAATCAGTGGCAGGTAGTTGACATCGTAATTTTGACCGCTAGCTTGGAAGCCTGGCCTAGTAGGTACTAAAAAAGTACCTGGTACCAGGTACCATCACCTAATGGGCAACTCTAGAAACAAAACAAATAGGGTGTTATATAAAGATTTTACACTATTTCATTATTTTGAGCCCTCTGTTGTCCAGACTTACACATCTAAAGCTTAACCAAGTTAACAATGAACCCTGTGGCAAACTAAAACTACTGACTTTGTCACTGTACTCTTTTCTCCTGACAGACAAGAACTGAGAGGAGCATTTGAAATGTGCTTTCCGTCACCCTTTTTCAGGACCTGCTGTTTATCGTTTGGCGACTTTTTGCTCTCCTGTCTGCTTGGTCTACAGAGAACAATGATGAGCTCCATGTGAAAGCCAGCAAGGATGGGCAAAGATTTTTTTCCCTAATTTTGTCAAAGCATTTGACGTATTTCATGAAGTGTCAAGAAATATAATACTATATGGTTCTGTCATAAGTTGCATGACTTTACTTTTGTATCGTACAAGTAAGCACATTGCACTATCTGTGCTTTGTTGTCAAGAGAAGTACCAAGGAGATACTCTAAATAAAGCCAGGGTCCACTCAGTCCAACATAACAACACAGGAACATAAACCAGGACCTAAATTTAGAACCAGTGTGTGTGCTGAAGGAATGCGTTCCCTTCTCCTTTTCACGAGGCAGCTATTCCCCCCCACACAATATTTTCACTTTTAAACTAGCTCCTCTGTCTATTAGCAATCCCCTGTTGGCCCCAATGCATTATTCAAAAAAGGGAAACAATAAAACTGTCTGTCGGTTACGTTCAAATCAGTCATTAAACTTTACAGCCGGCAAATAAAGAAACCTGGGTGTTTGTTCTGCTGCCAGTAATGATCACCCAGTTAATATAAACAAGTCACATGACCTTTGCCCTCATCATCAAACTAGACAGCACATTTTCACCTGTGTGCATGTGTTTTGTAAGGGTGTTTTAATATGTGATGAAGCCCTGTTAAAGATTAATTTCTGTTTTCTTCTAGAACAGGCAATAAAGCTATCTATCTATCCATCCATCTATCTACTCAAATTCAATTCTTGCATACATTTTAAGATATTTTTTCAACATGAAGTTCAGTGTGTCCACGTATTATTGAGCCTGTCCTCTGGAGATAAGTCTGACTCTATCTATTGATGGTCTCTTAAATCTTAACTAGCAGCCCTTAACAGACCAGCAGACAGTTCACTTTAGAGTACCAATATTGGCCAATCAGCCATAGCATTATGACCACACAATCCTATTAATGTGGCCTCCATCTCCTCTACACCAGATAACTACACCACATAAAGATGTGCTGTGGTGTCTGTCACCAGATCTTTTTAGTTCTGTTAGTGGCTTGGTAGGGCTTCAGTAGATCAGTTTTGGTTGTCCAGCACATCCAATAGATACTCAGTTAAACCTTGAACTCATCATCATGTTCCTCTAAGACAACTTGTTCCACTGTTCCATGGTCCAGATCCATGTGGACACTGTGGGTGCTTTTGGTGGACAGGGTCAGCCATATACACAAAGGACTGTAATGCACTGTGTTCACTGACATCTTTCTGTCAAAACCACAATTTCTCATCAGTAACTACAGTACTGTAGATCTGTTGGATTACGACACATGGACCAGCTTTTGGTACCCATAGCCATCAGTGGACCTTAGCTGCCCTTGGTGGCTTGCTGGTTTTTCTTCCTAGCACTTCTTCAGTATTGTGATGACAACATCAGAGTAGAAAAACCTTACAAAAGCTCTTTACTCCTCAATACCAACATACCGACTTAGAGGACAAAATGTTCACTTGCTGCCTTACATAATCCACCAACTGACAGGTGTAAGTTAATCAAAATGTTAAACATGTGTTGTTTCCAGTATCATGTTTTGAATGATACCATTAAACATCACAAACCACTGGTTTAACATTTTAAAGTATCAATAAGCACTGAGGTCTGTGTACAAAGATCTACACATATTTCCAAGCAGAAGGTGCTGGTAGCAAATGAGAGAGAGCAGTGGTTGATGTCGACATAGGGTTGACAATGGGAAAGAAAACGCAGCAACATAAAGAATATTTCCACAGTACGTTAGTTAATAGTACAGTGTTTAATTAGCCTTTTATTGCTGTTACCTGTACCTGAAATATTGGTCTGCATAGTGAGCATTTTTCTGTACCAGCTAAGGTACAGGTTGAAGATCAAAAGTGTAACAAAGCTATTAATTTTGGGTGGTTTATTATTTGTTGTTGATGTGGTATCAATGTTGTGTGATTTCATTGGTATGATTTGGAGGTTCGAAATTCTGATATCCTGACAGGTACTGAACAGGTAAGCAATGATTCCTCACTCTGCTTTGAGGTAAGGGATGTTTGGTCTTAAGTCTTTCCTTCATAGCACATAAATAATGGGTTTTGTTTTGTTTTGTCATACACTCCCTGAAATTGGCTTTTTGGAAGTCAAAATATGACCCTTCCTCGCGACCTTAGCCTATCGCAACGCTGTAGGTGTAGTTTGTGTTCACCTGAGTATCAGTTAAGCTAATGATGACTAAAATCATTCAAAACTCGCAAAGCGCTAACAGCAAAACAAGCACTTTAAATCAAGTCTGTCACCAGGGTTGGGGTGTTTAGCTTGAAGAAAAAGAGTGGAAGTTAGTGGGTCTTTACTTGTAGGTTAGCCCGTCTCCCCCGTTGAACAGCTGCTGTCCCGTTAGCCCGTCTTCGGGAACATAACCGGTTTGCCCGCTGATCAGATAGTCCGCCATGACGTCAAAGAAACCGCCACCGGTCCTCAGTCTTCAACTTGTCAGAGGTGCTGAGGTAACACTCACACAGACCCCCCCACACACAGGCCCTGCGAGAGAGGGACCGAGAACTTTCTCTCTCGGGCAGTGAACGCTTCAACCGTCGTTGTAGCCGCGAGCTCCTGTAAACCGGGAGGGTTCCTGTTGAACCTGAGCAAGATATGCAAGAATATACTCAGATACTGAGCACCCTTCTCTCGTTTCTTGGCCCTCTATGCAGATACCGCTGAATGACCCGAGGTTCTTCCTTCCACCAGCTCTCCTCCACACGTGCGTTCGTCGCGTCTGACAGTTTCCGATACTGACGTCATGTCCGGCAGCCCCGCCCCTTCATACAGATTTATTCCGAGTGGGATTTCATTATCACGCGAAGGATTATTGACTTCAGTAGTTATATTAGATGTCGAGGAATAATTTAAATCATGTCGGGAAAATAAAAATATGTTTAGAGGAGTCAATAGATTATTTGTCATTATGAAATAATTTGTATTTCATTCCATATTGCAAAAGAGATCCCAAATCCTGATTTCTGTACACAGTCGGATTTATTAACAGCTTTTTGCAATATGCTTTGAGGACATCATGGGGGCTTTTGGGGAGATGGCTCATAACTCAGATGGTCTAAGGGGCTGTCTTGTAGGATTTTTATTTTTTTTTTATTATTACCATTAAAACTATTTTGATGGTGTTTGATGCACTTTTGGAACCTCATTTGATTTTAGAATATACACCATGCATGCAGTGGCATTTAAAACAATAGCTGTGTTGCCTAAAAGCAAGTATATCATCTTTTTTTTCTGTTTAACTCAAGTTGAAATATGAAACATCTTACAAAACTGTTTAAAACATCGTGAGGGCAGTTTTCCAAGTGGGCCACCAGAGTTGGATGGACTCGAATGAGGGCACAAAAACTACATATTTAACACAACCTACTTTCCACTGGCTTTAAAACTTTCCAGCCAGTAGTCAGGCGAACTGCCTGTCTGTCCTTCTTTGGAATTACCACTTGAGGGTGCAATCTTTCTTCAAACTACATGTTGCTGAGTGGGGAGAAATTGGGCCACACACAAAAGGTCAAGGAGAGCAGAGGAGGAGGGGATACTATCTTGGCACATTAATACACATCACTATATAAGGCTGTGACAGACACCATCACCTAACTCTAACCCTATACCAAATGAGGTGCCAATTTGATAATGTCAAAGGGCACCCGAGGTTCTGCAGAACGTGTCGACACGCTGTGTCAACACACTACATATTAGACTATCTGATATTGTTGAAATAAATACTTTGTGTGTGAATCCCTTCATTTACATTTGTATTAAAGTTGTGGAAGACATCATCAAAACTCTGAAATCCTAATGTGATACATGAAGGGTACATTGAGTTCTTCTGTTGACAGGCTTGGATGTAATATATCTCAGTATCATTTCTTTGAGAGAGTACCCACATACCAGTAGAAGACTAGGGTTGTTGTGGCAGCTTCAGCTGTTGGTCCAAAAGGCCTGTGATAACAGGCCTGACAGTCTTACTTTTTGAACCATTTTACATTCAACACTTATATTTTCATTTTATGACACTGGGCAAAATAATGTTAAAAGTATGCACATTTAATTGATGTATAAAGAATTCTGCCTGTGTTAAGCAACATGATAGTGGATAGAGATCATGTAAGACATGAACTAATGTTAAAGATGGCTGAACAAGTGTGGTTAAACCTTCTTAGAGTTTATGTGGTAAGTAGACTACAACAGATGAGATCCATTTGACAGTGTTCGCCCTGTCATGACAAGTACGCCTGATGATCCAAAACTTCACCAATTTAGGAAATAACGGTCTCATGAAACTTTATCACAAGCAATGTGAAAGGTCAGGTGGCTTGTTGATGTCTCAAAGTTTGCATCTACAGTGGCAGAGAGTACTCATAAAATCTGGCAAGAAGCATAATGACAGACGGTCTGAAAAATTCAGGAAGCTTTACTCTAGAAAAGTCAACTTTTGTAGAATTACATGTTTGGAAACACTCTTTTTACCTGACATTTTCAGCCTATGAAATTTCTGAAGACTGGGTTTCCTTCTATGTGTGCAGATGAATGTGTATTTGTATAATGAACACACAAGAGACAGGGTCCGGTTTTAAAAACTCTCAGTAACTCTATTTCTGTATTAATGTACAACCGTTGAAAATTACAACATTTTTTTTCTTTTTTTTTTCTTTTTTCCCAGTTTTTTTTTTTTTAATATGATCTATCTATCAACAGCCATTTTCCAAAAGAAAAGTAAACAAATTTGAGCTAGGAGAAAAGCAAAAACAAAGAGCAAAATAAAGCAAGGGGGTGACTGTAAAGAAAGAGAGCATGAGATGAGGGAAGACAAAAAATGTGTATTTAAGGTTTTTCTTTTCTGCAGTGGAGTGTTTGAGTGATGTGCACATGGTATGTGCGTGCAAATGCTGTGTCGATGTCAATGAGTGGTGTAGTGTGAATGGATGGCTGAGTGTACACTTGCTGCTTTACAACATCTTCATCATCTGATCAATTGTTGTGCTAGAAATAGATTTTTAGACTTAAAACAGATAGCAACACCATCTGAAGAAAAACGTATCGAACTACAGTAATTTCCTAGTTTTACTTTGACCATAACGAATGACAACTGTTTGCTGGCAGTAGAGGCTGTAGCAGGTCAGGCTTGGTGTGAACAAAAACTCAGAGAAGGAGAAGGTGTGTTTATTGTGAAGCACTGGTGATGAAATCTTAAAAGGTTGTCATTTAAACACACATTCATCTCCATCTGTAGTATTTTTGTAAATAAACATGCATTATAGCAAAATATTTTTTTCAAGTATTTCGAGGACTAAGTGGTACTGCAAAGTCGCCATTTTTCCACAGTAAACACACCATAATAACTTGAATATTGGGTATGAAATAGCACTCTGTCTTTATGAACCCACAGATTTGCAGCTGGCATGTGGAGCCACACCTGGTGTGGCAAAAGTTATTAATCCAGTTAAGTTTGAGATACCTTTGAAATAAGAGTATCTCATTCTTCCAGCAAGTATTATTTCAAGTTTAGCAAAAGTTGATGTAAACAGCTTTACAAAGAAATAGTCAGGAGTAATTTTCCATATTGTTGTGCTCAATGTATTATTTGTAAATCACTGTTTGTGGCTAATGAGAGTAAGCTGAATCATAATGTTGAGTTTCAGAGTATTACCTTTGCATTTCTTTTGGGCAATTAACTGTAAGGGGACCACTACTACTATAGAGAGACAGATAGCCTTTAAGGTCTATGTGAAACCACCAAATATAGATCAACAGTCTGAAATCTCTTTAAAGGAATTTTATTTCATCTCCATACAAAAAAGCTTCTCCATCAAGAGCAGTTTTATTTTGCTGTCATAGAAATAATGTTAAAGAAAAACAGCTGTGACTTTTACACTTTTTTCAAAAGGTAACAGGTTGCCTTTAGCTGCTCAAGTTTGTGTAATAAAGCTGAATGTGAAATAAAGTATCTTATATCCACATACCAACTATTTTCTGGCACACAACCTCTTTGATCAGATAAGAAAAGCTGCAACAAGTGTAACTGCAGTGAGTGTAATGCTGTGAAGCCAAAACCTGTAAATGAGCTAAGGATGAGAACAAGGAAGGGGAGATACAATCGTGCCATTCTGTGACCCTGCAGCATTGTGGGAGTAAGTGATGGGTGAAACAGAAAGAAAGAAGTGAATGAGGCAGTGTAGAGAAGAAAAAAAAGGGGTCAGTATGACTGCATCAAGGGATGGACGCATAAGGAAACAAAAGGTAGGAAGAAAGGAAGGAAGTGAGGAAGGAAGAAGGGAGGGAGATGCTGGTGCTTTGCATTGGCGATGGAGCCTCAGGTATCGTGAAAATCCTTCAGCAGCGTGCGTCGCCTCTGCTCAGCAATGTGCATCTGATTCTCCAGATCCTGGAAAACACAACACTGCTGTTAAAGAAGAAGACTCCTAAAGACAAACACAATCCAAACAACAATAAGATTAACCCTCAATCCATTGGCAGTGCTTCATTCCTATGCAGATTAAAGTTTTATAGAGAAAAACAAGTGGATAATACAGAAAGGCTTTAGGTTAAGCTAGGGGAACAACCTGCTGATCACAGAGTTGCATGTTCTTATAAGTATTTGGCATGTATGGCAATTCACAATCTTTAGCCTACTTTGCCAGCCACAACAAACAATAAACCATGGGGTTCATAATTTCACTGTCATTTTAGAAGTAATGATACAGTCCCATTTCATACACAGATTTTGAGGCACTTTTGGTCCACCCATCCACTAATAACCCTATAAGACAGTGCAATCATGTCTGTCATCTGTCACTATATTATAAGTCATCCAAAAGTGGTCCTTGAAGTTCAACAACAGTTCGTACCCCTCTGTCACTCGCGCTGAGCTCCCCTTCGCCTCCCACAACTCCTCTCTCATAGCTGTCAGCCCGCTCCACCTTCCATGATAGGTTTTCTATCTCTGCTTCCAGCTGGGCCTGCTGGTACTCAAACTAAAGAAAAGAAAAAGTTAAGTGTACAAACAGTGATAATTAAAGACACAATAAACACTGCAGGGTTCAAAGTTAAAAACAAAACAAAACCAAAAAAATAAGAAAAAATGTTCAGAGGGCAAATGAGTGATGGAGGGGGCTCTTTGCTTTTATTTCATGTGTTTTCTGCAGTAAGCTTTTGAGACTACTTTGTTCCTTACCAGTTTCTTCCGTGGGCCTGACTCCATGTAATAGGCGTATGGGTATGTATACTGCAGTGTGTAGCGACACTGGAACCAAAGAGAGAACACACGTCAACAAAGTTTTGCTACATTATAAAAACTTGAAAGAATAAATGAAAACCAGGATAAATTTCAAAAGGGCTTGTTTATAACTGATGGGCATTATCAGCACTTTACCGCTTTGCTTCTATAGATTTTCTTTTGGGATTACATTAAAAACATCCACAAGTGAATTTACAAACCATGAAAATAAAACCATGATTTATTGAATTTCCCTTTGGGGATAAAGTAAAGTTATTCTTATTCTTACACACCATTTACAGGGCATTTGGCTTTTTTTAAACCACACTATAAAAATAAGGTTGATTGATGATTGATTGACTGATTGATTGATTGAGTGACTGAGGGATTTTAAAATCCTTTGGTTAGAGAATGAGACGAGTATCTGTAACGAATCAGGAGTCCATCGGGCTTAATGCTCTCTTTCACTTTCTGACCCTGACCTTAAAACAAAACCTAAAATGATTTCTTTGCCAAGTTCAATTTCAACAAACTTTACAAGTCACCAATTCGTAAATGCAGCCTCATGGTATGAATCTCAGCATTTTTCTGAGTAATATCCCTGATTTATCATTTTGTGATTCCCCTTCCTCTTGGCTCTTCATGTCAGCATTAAATCACTGTTCTTCTCATCACATCACGAACAGCTATGCGAGCAGCCAGAATAGACAGAATTCAAGATCACGCAGTGGGTACCTTAGCCAGTAGCTTTGCAGCGTTATGTAGGTACTGCCAGTCGATCCAGGTTCCCAGGTTGTTCATCACTCTCTCCTGGATCTTTTCCTGGATCCTCTGGTATGTCTGAGCCTCTAACTGCAGAGACTTGTTGTGATTCTCCCACTGGTTAGATAAGAAGCCAAAAAGATGAAATCCAGTTAAGGTTACCATCAGAGGAAATCCTTCTCCAGTAGCTCTTGAGCTCAGGTATATGATCGCAGAAGATAAAAAGGCAGGTGTATTTAACACATACAATGACATTTCAGTTAAAAGGTATTTTTAAATGCATTTTCAAACTTCTGTTTCAATCTATATCAATAGACTTTAACCTCTATAGTTGAAGGCTGAAAAACACAGAAGATCAACACATTTTTTTAAACTGGCTTTATGATTTATGTCTTTCAAAAATAGTAAAAAAAACCATCATGATTTAGACTTGGTTTAGTTTTTGCCAGTCAGTTAAGTAATTGCAATACACAGGGGATCTTTTTTTTTTTTTTTCCAACAGAAAGAGATCAAACTTAACTAGCCAAGCTGCTGGATAGGCTAATGTTGGATCCTATTTTCAAGTGTATCAGAGCCTGTACAAACAGCTACCACTGCCTCCTGCTGCCTGTTTCAAAGTAAAAGGATGTTTTCAGCCTCTTCAGATGCAACTGGAACAATAAATGTCCAAAATTGTACCTTCCTTCACAGCTTATGACCTGCACTGTTTGAATGTGTTTATCTATGACTGATGTGAGCCACCTCCTGAAACCCTGAATTCTAAAGAAACTAGACAGAATGACATCCCTGAGGACCGGGGTTTGAAACTGGATTGTGCTCATAAAAAAAGGTGGTTGTTATTTACCAGTCAAAGATTAAGTTCCCTGGAAATAACGTCCCTTCATTCTAGGAAATCTGCTAAACTTGGCTTTTCTCTGGTTTTGGTTTATGTAAAAGGCTTTTGTTCTTCAAGTTCTACACTGACTCCCCCATTGGAAAGGAAGCAAAAATGTCAGCTCAGGTTTTTTTTTAACTTCACTGTATAAATATCAATGTAAAGTTATTGAAGCAGAAATGCCTATACGAAAATGTAAAGGAAGCTCACCCTCTCAAAGTAGAAGAGGTATTTCTTGAGGGCCTCTCTGGCCTGAGCCTGTTGGCTCTGGTTGACTATATCAGGGTTTTCTTTGTAGCGACTGCACTCATAGTATTCACTGCCGTGGGTCTTCCAGTCACCAAGACACATCCAGCAGAAGTCTGCAAGGACAGGAGACACAAAACACAGAGTATTAGCTGCCTTTCTGTGACATGGATTATACATCACAACAAGTGAAATCTCTTTTGGAGCCACTTTTAACTGGCTAAAGGTCGAAATATATTCCACAGGCACGGATAACTGATCACAGTTTACTTTCACTGCATTTCTCACTTTTAACTCAAAAAGAAGCACATGGTTTGTGGAACCCATTTCCAAGTTGCTTTTGATGGGATTCCATTTCCCAGTGTGATTCTCAGTCTCCAAGACTTTGTATTGTGATAAAAGAAACTTTGATTGAAACTGAGCATTAACATAAGGTAAGAATGTTTCATAAGTTCAACCATTCTTATCTCACAGTAAAGGCTGACAGCTTCCTTCTGTGTTACATATCGTACCACCAGGTGGGTGCAAAGTGCCTCACAGAAAACTGAATTTATGCTTCACAGGATCGCAGTGGAGGTGTGAAATGGCTTACCGTGTTTGCACTTGGAACATTGCTGAAACAAAACAAAGACACAGGAGGATTTCAGATGAGGGAAACAGAAACTTGACAAGACAAGCATATGAGTCACACTCTGACATGAGGTAGACTGTGTGAGTCAACAAATCCAACCGTTTAGTGCTTGATTTAACTTCACAAGTAAACCACTCATGGAGCTTTAACACTGTTTGAAGGAAAATAAAAGGTAACATATCTTCCCTGCAGCAATTTCATCAAACACACACAGTCAAAGCTGAGGAATTCAGATACCAGAATCTGGATATAAAGTCAGAACTCCCTTTGCTTTATGAAAGTGTGATATTCAGCTCTGACTCACCATGTGATTGCACCCTCCGTTCTTCTCAATGCAAATATTGCACTTAGGACACTAGAGGAGATCAAGAATATTAACATTACTAACATATTGTATGACCTCATTGTCAAAAACACATTTTGAATTTTATACCGTTGTGAGATCATATAAGGTTGTGTGAGTGTACAAAACCATAGTATGGTACAAATATGCTGTCAAATGTGTATGACTGTATGTGTATGCATGTAAATCCTCATACATCTTTAGTGTGTGCGCTGATGTAGTTAGCCGTTTCGGAGTCATCTGCACATTTGGTCAGCCATTTTCGGATTGTTGCACAGTCTGTGGGTGCATGGTACATCTGACGGCATTTGAAACTGAGACAGAGAAAAAGAAACAGAAAGTACAGAATCAACTGTGTACAATGCAGCAACAAAAACAAAAAAATACAGCTTCATTATGAGGTTTTCTGTGTTGATGTGTCCTACCAGAAGACTTCACTGCAGCGACTACACTGCACCCGGCGCGCCCGAGGCTCCTGCACTTTGATTACAATGGGACAGTCTGCACCGGGACACAACTGCAGCTGGAAGTGACTCTGTGGAAACAGATTCAAACCCACAAAACGAACATCCAAGTGAACAACTGCATGACCACAATAATGATCATAGATCTGTCCTTGTGTCCTACATGGAGGCTTTTAGATTCATGGAGCTTTTCTTTACTGTTGTAAGTTTACTGGTTTGGTTCATTTCCAATAGATTTATATACACACACACACACACGCACCTTTTTTTATACCCAACAACCAACACTAATGTCCTCCTGTCCTAGACTTAACTTGTGACTCCTATAGTGGCAATCCATTGGTTTTATTAACAGACATACAACAACACATCATTTGGTTTTATCAGAAGTGACAGAAATTCAATAACAGTAATTTTATGCAATATTATGCATCTCTAACATAGAGTTACAGGGAAAAAGCCTCTAAAAGGAGTCACTGCTTTAAAATTAAAAATTTAACTTTTTGAAATATTAACAGTACCAGAAATTCAACCTCAAAACATGGGTAAAAAAAACAGGAAAAATAGTTTCTTTTTAAAAAGGTGGGAAAGTTTTCAAAAAAGATCCATGTGAGATTTAAATTACTGAGACAGATTTAGGTGGAAGCCCAGCTGCCAACACACATGGTGACGGGGTTGGAGAACACTAGGACACTAGAGAGAGGATTCAGATCTAATGTCTTGTGAAGGACAGTTAAAGGTTCACTTGTTGAAACAATACACAAAGCTTCACTGCATTTCTCTCTGCTCCACATCCTTTTTCATCTCATTTGTTATTCCTACTGACTCTGTCTGCCAGGCTGTGTGTGTGTGTGCTGGTTCTGTTTGCTCAGATGCTAACAAACAAACAAACAAACACACACACACACACACACACACACACACACACACACACACACACACACACACACACACACACACACACACACACACACACACACACACACCTCAACGTAGTCTCTGAAGAGGTAGCGTCTGTATTTGTCCTTCAGCTCCTCTCCTGGCAGCAGTGGCAGGACAAAATCTTCTGGCATCTGCAGGGAACAGTCCTGAGCCATACACGAGATACCTGAAAGCACACACGCGAGCGCGCACACGCGCACACACGCACACACACACACACACACACACACACACACACACACACACACACACACACACACACACACACACACACACACACACACACACACACACACACACACATTACCAAGAGCGACGAACAGCTGACAGATTGTAGTCAGTGCAACTCCTGTATGTGCCAATAACCTACAGCTATCACTTGAACTCAGATTGTATTGAGAAAAGGTTATCTGCTGTAGTGTTTGGTATAAGCAGCTGGTTTCTAGTGTTACAGTGACCCAGAAACTGGATTGGGGTCATCTGTCATCATATGCTTGTCCTTCATACAACTGATACAGAGAAATGCTTATCACACTCTGAAGGACCGGGTTACAAAGAAAGACTTTATCAGAGAGAAAGTAGCACAGGGACTAACAACATACAGATATTCTTGGGCACGTACACACACACAAAACACTTAAGCTCCCACACACTTCAAACTTCAGGACTGAGAGTCTGGTTCACTTCATGCACAGTACCACACATATACAGAACGCAGTACAAAAAAAAAAAACTGATCCATGTACACACCCACACACCAATCTGCTCTAATGCTGACACAAGCCCACTTTCTCCCCCAGACACGTACACACTATGATAGTCAAAAGCAAGAGTGGTCCTGGCTGATGAAGTCTCGTATTACGCCTTCCTTAGCTTCAAAGCCACTGTAGGGTTTTACACAGACACAAATGTGGTGTTTTCTCTTGTTTAAAAACAGTGCTTTTAAAAGGCTGATGCAGGTCTATTCCAGTCTTCTGACGCAGCTAGTCCAACAAAGATAGAACACACGGGGCCAAAGACATTTCTAAAGGATCAGAGGCTTAAACTGCCATAAGTCTGAGTAGACCAAATAGACACATGGAGCACGAGCAAACAACTATAGGGATGCAAGGATAAACATACAGATACATACACCGACAGTGAACAGCTCCCATAAACAAAGTCTGACTCACCCACTAATACCAGCTTGGATGACACCACATGTACACGCTTTACTCACCCACTCCCATGCCATCTTTGACTAGTACAGTGCAGTGCTGCTCCCAGCATGCTTTGCAGAAGGAGTGCTGGCAGGGTAATGCCAGTAAGGAGTCTCTCCGGACGACCTGTAGACACACACCACACTGGAGGGACTGAGGGGCCTGAAAAAAAACAACACACACATGTGAACATGTACTCAGCCACAAACTGAACAACAGAACTAGTGAGAATGCTCACTCCACAGCTCATACTTAGAAAGTTGACATCTGTACCACCAATACCAACAGAAAATAGCATCACGATACATTCAACTTGGAGTTAAAAATAATAATTCATTAGATAAACTAAAAACTGAATTTAACTTTTCCACTTTAGGTTAAGGGTTAGGTATATTCTGTACCCAAATCTATGAGTATTTGTTCATATAACATTCATGACTCACAGTGACTGATCTGCAGGTGCTACTGGGCTGAACAAGTGCATCTGACAGCAGAAGAGACGAGTTGGACTTGTATCTGTAGGGAAGAGAGAGAGAAAAAAAAGGTTATGTGAGGATGAGAAAAAGAGAAAAGAATGACGCTAAATAACGTATAGAAGGTGAAAAAAAAAAAAAAAAAAAAGAACATGTAGGTCATGTGGAAAAAATGACTGAGGAGGAAACTACAGATAGAGCAAAGACTGAAATGAGACCCACAGAAGAGATCATCAAAAATAATGCCTGAAAGACTAAACATGACAAAGCACAAATGTTGAGGGGATGGGGAGACATACCTGTCCAGTATTTGTGAAACCTGCCAGTGAAAATGCACCAGAATCAGTTTTGCTACTGCTGGTAAAACCTGAGGAAGAACGAGACAGAAAGGAGAGAGACTTTTATGTTTCTGCATTAATATTCAACAACACAATACAAATGCTGCCCCTTTTGACAAGCACTATTCATTTGAGTACTTTGTGTTTAACTGATAACCTGCAGATCAAAATATGACAAAAGACACCATTAAGGGAAATTTTATTATAACAGCTCAATGTTTTAAAATTATGTTTTCAATAATAGTTGTTGTGTTTCGTACAAACCAGGCACTGACTCATGTCATTCAGTCACTTTAACCTTCTTGAAACTTAATATATTCTCTGAGCTGTTACCGCACTGTTCATATCAGACAGGGCAGAGGGATAAATCTATGAGTAGGATTCTATATATAACCATAAAATATGGACAAGCTAACAGAGGAGGATCTTAGACCTCCATGTGAGAAAAGCCTGAATGTAAACAAATCTAATCCTTTAAAATGACGAAAATGTTTTTCATTATGAGAAGCTGCAAACACAACACAGTCCAACTGCTGTGCAAACCCCAGGAGTAAATATGTGCAACTGTGAGTGTAAGGGCAAACAGCAGGCTAACAACGCTGCCATGCAAAGTTCTTCTCGAGAAATGAAGTGACAATCAACTAATGGTAATCCATGAAAGTAATTTCAGAGTTGACATCAGGTAATGGTCACTGGTGTTCAACCTCCATCAGGCCCACTTGAATGCATTCATACCAATGTGTGCGTTAGGAACAACCTGAACAGTCATGCTGATAATGCAGTTACAATAGCCTGCTTTGAGTGTATACTGTATCAACTCCAAGCTGATCATTGTCAACTCTAACGACCTTACACCACCAAGTTCTGACATGCACAAAAACTGCAGTGGAAATCTCAGCAGCTAGAACAGTTACGATATAATCTGGAGCAAATGTATACGCAACTCAGTTCTGTGGCCTTGTGATACTTCAGAAGTCATTCGAGGAATTTAAACAACATTGATGACAATTCTGAATGATGTTGGGGTCATAATTATTTCACAAGATTCCTCATTCATTTTTAACACTTAAACAATCTGAACACACAACTAAACAGCCTGATAATGCTCTCTGTTTAACATGGCCATCATGAGCTCATGACTGCTTGTTATTTCTACAGTCTCTCTTGTCCTTACTTTGTCCCTCTACTTAATTAACACACTCCTGATCCTCTATCTGACAGGGCCACACAGCCAACCACTTTACTGGGCTGCACTATGGTTGACACTGCAGTAGCATATTAAGATTCAGAGGTCCCTACTTTACACATTTCACAGCCTCCCCACCATCTTCACACCCCACAATCTTGTTATGCTCTAATCCAGGCTTTTGATGATTCTGTCTTTCTTAAACCAGAAACTATAACGGTCTGGAAAAAGTCCTTTCCAGGCACGATTTGGCCACTTCTGCATCAACACAGAATTGCACAAATGGACTGCTTGTACTTTTTAAAACATTAGGATGTATTATAGCCTATAGGCACTAAAGTGCATCTGCCCACTGGGGACAGTCCTTGGTATGCCAGATTGCCAGTCAAGCCTTGGCAGTGACTCTCACTCACCCTCACCCTCACAGTGAAAGAAGTTGAAGTGAGAGCTGTTTGGGGGCCCTGTTCAGCACACAGAAATGTTTCGGTCTGAATTATTTCGTTTTGATGATGGTAGGAGGCAGAAACCATCATTGATATTTAATTGCCCAGTTTTACTCAAGATCAACATGAACTGACAGTGACTAGAAGATAAACAACAAGATATTCAGACACATACTACAAAACCCACAAACATCTCGTAGCGATACCCTCCATGTAACAACATGAAAACAGTTGACAAAGCTTTTCAGCAATAATAGTGCTCATCTCCTAACCACAACTGGTTATTCCCATAGTGGCGGTTATAAAGCCAACGAATTATTAATTTTAAAGATATGTGATGAAAACAGTCTCCTGCTCTCATGCCATCTTCAGCTCAGAGAAACACAGTGTTGGTTTACTCAAGGAGAAGAGAGACACTTTTGGAGATGAAACAGAGTCACTGGACTTCAGTGGACATCATTGTTCCACTTTCCTGAGTCTTAGGTACATCAGTGTGGCTCTTTTTTTGCTAAACTTTGCCAAACACCTTTTTGAAAATAATCATGCTTTTGAACTACCTTACTCACAGTGATTACAAGTGTATAGTGGCCTTCAGGGACAGCGCCTGTCTCCAAGACTAGAACGTGACTGTGACCCTTCACACATTTTACAAACACTTTTTCTTAAACCACAAACTACTGCAGATCCTGTGCTTAGAAATCTTGCCTCTTCTTGTTTCGGTCTCCAAACAGCTGAAGACACACATCGCTCACCTTCAGTGCCACAGCCACAGTGTTAACCTCCTCTGTCAGCACCCTCTGACTCTCTTTGTAGGTCAGGCAGGTGAACAGGTACTCCTCGGGGTCAAAGGAGTCAGCACCCTGTTGCTCCACGTCGCTGGCCACACCCTCATAGTAGCCAGCCATATCAACCTGATCCTCCTCTTCTCCTCCATCATCTTCATCCTCCTCCTCTTCAGAGTTCACCCCAAAGTCTTCCTCGTTGCTGTCCGACGCCTGGCTGTTCATGTCCACAGACATCCAGTCGACTGAATCAAACACCCAGACAGGTAGACGGCCCGCCTACCCGTCTGATTCTAGTGGTCCGATTGGCTGAAATGGCTCTTTGAAGCTCCAACTCCCTGTCACCCTGCACCCCCTTCAAACCTGCTTGTATCAGTGTATGGAGACACGCTGCCTTCCTTGTGTGTCTGCGGCGCGTAGACAGCGCTCAGCAGCAGCGGAAGAAGCAGAAGAAGTCACACTCCCCGTCACTCATTTGGAAAGCTGGTTACAGGAGGATCTAAGAAGAAAAACAGGACTGAAGAGAGGAGGGAGGAATGAGTATATCAAGGATAAAGCAGAGGGGCAGTAGAGAAGAAAGAAAGTTTGGGAAGAAGGGGGGAAAAAAAAATCAGTGAACAAGGCCTTCAACATTTCCTACTATTCATTCCAAATTATTTCATATATTGCATGTGCCTGCCAACTGTTGAGCTAAATTTGGCACATGAGTATTAAAAGCAACAATCTGTTCACTTTCTGATCTGACTGCATTTGTTTTTTTTTCCAGAATCCTGTGTGATATTCCCTAAATTTTAAAACATACTGTTCATTTAACCAAACAATGCCTGTTATAGTTCACTGAAGTGTGAAACATGTTTCAAGACTACTATGTTCCACCAAGAGCTACGACTAATGATTTCATTATCACTTCATCTCCAAATATTTAGCACATTGGTACTGAAACATTCTGACAAATACAGAGTGAAAACTGCTCATTCAAGCTCTCTGAAGCCAAAGATCATATCACACCTGCATCCCTGACCGGGAATGAATACCATTGGCAGCAGGTGACAGAGGACGCTGAATAGAGAAGCAAGCATGCACAGGGTATGAGACATCTACTGTAACCTGCATCGTTCTATCCTCCTTTGTATTTGATTAAGGACAAGCTGGGGGTGTGCCACAAATTATCAGTGATAGTGATACTTATTGTTTGCCGCTGGCTGTGCTCAGTCACTGCTAAGAGAAAATTCCCGGTAAAAAAATAAGGAAGATGAGAGGGAATTTTCAATTCATCATGCAGTATAACAATGTTCCAAGAAACTGTGACAGGCTCTGAAGAGGAAGATTTTCACAGACTGAAAGTACAGCAGCCATCTGTACCAACCCAGACAATGATGAGATCTTCTTCGTGCAAAGATACTATCTACACACACACGTGTGTGTGAAACATAAGCATACAAAAGAAATGCAGGATGAAGTGTAGGGTGTCTTTCTCCAAGAACAACAAAAAACAGATTGTCTCTTTAACTGATAAGATCACCTTGGTTTGACTACAAGACACAAAGAGTTAAAACAGTTTTGATAATTTAAATATCACTTCTAAGGTGTGTGTGTGTGTGGGGGGGGGGGGGGGGGGATAAATTTTGGACTTGACTAATTTTAAAACTACACACTGAAACCACTTAAGCCCAGAGGGTCTTAAATAGTTAGCAAATAATGTTTAGACACTGACAAAGACAAATAGGCCGCTGGTGCTCAGAAACCACAATACAGTGCTTTGAAAATGCAGAAATAAAAAAAGCACCAAGTACTGGCTGATCTTGTAAACTGAAGGAGGTTTCTACAAACTATCATGACCATTTCTTTTCTCCTGTTGACTCGGACCACTGTAACGCACATATTTTATTTGCATAATATATTCCATTGCAGAGTTACACAAGCCACTAGACAGCTGTTGCTAAATATTTGGCTAAAATTTTTCTACTTAGCAGTTGACCTTGGCTGACAGATTACGTCATACTTCCCAAAGCAAGCTGGGATGTCCCGCTAACAGTGAAAGCAGCTCCTGACTTGGTGACCTGTTGACAAACAGTTAATTTTTCTTTGCTGGCTCGAAGATAAGCTAGCCATGATCCAATGGACATGAATTATCTACAAGGTCCCTCCTTCTCTCCAAGCCAGCAAAGTTACACCTACCATACGCACCATTTGAAATTGTGCTTTCTTTATTCAAGTAGGAATTTTCACTCCCCACTTTAAGGTTCTATCATTTTCTGTGGCAGCGTCTCTTCCTCTGTCGCTCCACTTCTGCTTCTTATAACTACCACAAGCTTTGAAATGAACTTCATGAAAGCAGGTTTTAGATCATCCCTTGCTTACGAATTTCGTATATGTTTAGCCTGTTACAGTGAAGATCTGTTTAACACGTGTGTGGACACAAGGCACAGGCTAAGGCTTAATGTCACAGTTCAGAGGATTAGCCGAAGATGCTTTAGCTCTAGGGATGAGGGAAACAGACCAACCATATCCCAAGTTTACATGGTGACAAACTGAATAGTCAGACTGACCACAAAATTAGGTACAAACAGCTCCTTTTCTACGTCGGCATTAAAACCAAGTTAACTCCATTCATATAATAGCAGTGCATTGCAATTTTACATTTAGATTGACATTAAAGGGTTGGCAATATCATTATAAATGCAGCCATCACTGGTTATTGGCTTATCGTTTAATTTTGACGAGTTAAATTTCTCAGAGTCTGACATCAAAACACCAGAAGTCACTGTGGGGAACTTTCACTGCGGGTATGTCTTATCTATTTGCCTTTTTCCCTGTAAATGAGTGAAATGTGTTTTCTAGTAAACAATCCCCTCTTGTTGTTTTTTCTGAATCAAATATATCACTCACTGTGAATCCTTGCTGTGTAATATATAAACCAAAACATGTTTCTGCAATGTGCTTTTGAAATCACAGCCTGATAATTACCATTTGAAGGCCATTTCAAATATTTAAAACTACTTTGTGCAAAATCTTCTCTTGGTGGTCTGGTTTGCTTTTTTACATCATTTTTTTCTTCCCGTCTGTTTCATTCCCAAGTATAAAAAAAAAAAAGTGTACTTATGTGTAATGCTTACACCTGACATATCTTTAAAAAGAAAAGGACAATCATTCATCGTCAGTGCTTTCATTTGACTCTTGAACTTCCCTGTGTCTTCTCCGTTCCCCACTATGCAGACGTTGCTTGTTTGGATGGGGTTCCCCTGATAAACACCAGCTGTTTTTTCACTGTCCTGACTAATGCACGGTTGTATTTTCCCTCATCAACACGTGTTTTTTTTCCGTCATGATTTGTCCTATTTTCTAAAACCTTATAAATCAATGCCTTTGAGGGCCACCTACACATTTACATTAATAATCACAAACGTTGACTCTACGATGTCTCTTCGTACCTTGAGGCTTGTTACGACACGTGATTTGCGTCCACTGAGATCAAAATACACACGATCAAAGCCGTCTGTTGGCACTGATATCTAAATGTGACTTTGCAAATATCCACCTAGACTGAAATAAGGTTAGCCGTCCATGGTGAGTCTGGCTCCGGTGCCAGCCTAGCGATAGACGAATGCGAGCATTCCGCCCGGTCCAGGCTAAAAATAGGTACCAAACTGGGTGACACACATCTTGCTAGGCTAATATATCACAGCGACTCAGCACAGGTTTGATAACACGTAATGGGGTATGGGGGGCACTAGTTTGTATACAGACTGACCTTTAAAAAAATTATTGGTTGGTTCTGTGCATCGGCTTTTCGTGTAATTTCTCTCGCAGGCTACTCTTTTAAAAAGGGAGTGAAGCCAGATCTACTGGACGGCTGGCTAACTAAGTGTTAGCCGGATTAGCTCACTGGCTAGCGTGCTGGCACTTTTATGCAGCAGTAAAGTAACCACATGCTAAACCCACGACTTATACAAGTCACTTTTCTGGATGCTCTCACAACATACTTGCAAAACATATTAAAAAATATTACAACAACAGCATCTGAAAATGTAAAGGCTAACCAGTTTGGCCACCCCCTCATCGTCCCCTCCCGCTGTGCCGCCGCCTCTTACCCACTCCAGACCGGGGATTGAGATGTAAACAAGGCCCCTCGGAGCTCGGGAGTAAACGGGCACATTTCAAGAACCGCTACAGTAATCCTCCCAGGTCGAAGTCGGAGAAATTTACCTCTGAGTGCAGCGTCGGCTCTGCCGGCGTTGACAGTCAGGAGTGGATTTTCTGTGGGGAAACCCAAAGAGCGATTTACACTCTGTTCGCTTCGTTGGTAGGCGGAAGATAGACGGTTCCAGAGGTACTTATCTGTGACATCACTTCCGCGTTTTCATGCTGGCCCCACTTCCCTCAGGATACAGTAACTTTACTTCAGTCACTAAATGTGTGTACTAAATGTAATATCTATTTATATATGAGCAGTATCACCATATGTGGCAACCTTTTCACTTTTTTACACTCAGACAATCAGATTTCAGGCGGTATTAGAAGTTTCAATAAATAAATACATTTTACCTGTAGCAATGTTTGATTTTTGACATTCACAGGTCCGTGTCTGAGTGCACATCATAAAAAAAAATCTGTTTCCTTTTTCCTCCTTCCCTAATGTAGATACCTAACACTTAACCCATTCTGCTTCTTATAATTTTGACTGAATGCTGCAAACCTACAAAGGCCCATTTTACTAATGTTAGACCGACACATTATGCAAACACAAAGGCTCCCGTGGTCACTGACAGCCTAGAGACTGTAGCCTTTAACTGTATGTGATCCCTATTATGGGTTAACTCACATTTCCCACAGCAACCTCCTGCTATTAGTTTGATTACCTATAGGTGGCTCAGGCAGGACTCTCACTGGAAAGCATGACTGCACTCAAAGTACTTCAGTCCTAAAGGTATAGGACTTAAGGCTCTGTAAACAATGCATAACCCTCTGCTTTGCCTTTTAGCAGTGCATGCAAGACACAGAGGCTTGTGGCCCTTAGGTTAATGCATTGGTAAATGGTCTTGGATTTCTCAGAAATAAGGTATGTCAGCATATGACGTAAGTGATGTGTGTCTCACACATAACAGGATATTTTCAATAGATTAGATGGTTGTGTACATGAGCAACTTCAGGGTTCATATTTTGCACGGTGCGTACTTTGACAAAAGCTTGCAGAAATTCATTTGCATTCAGAATAATTTTTTTCAATCCAAGGTAACCTCAGGATGTGTCAGCACACTAACAGTCACACATACAATATTCTTTTAGTATTTCAGTTAAGGGTTAAAATTATGTTTGGAAAACCTGCGTATGCATCCTTGGGTCAAGTTAAGAACACTGATCACACTAATCTCTACCTGGATGACTGTCAGATCAGCGCTGGTTGGAAAGTTCCCCATAATCAAATGAGGAAGGAAATGTCAAAAACAAGAACGGTTGAAAATATTATGCTGTTTGTCTTAAAACCCAGAAGTTCTTTCTTTTTTTTCTGCTAGTTTATGGTTGTACATAATACTCCTTATAATAAATCTGTTAAAAAGTGTTCCATAAAGGACATAGAAGCACTCAGATATCAAAGTCTAAATGAAGAATACACACAAAAGTGAACAACTCAAATTTATTCTTGCCATTTTCCTTTAACTGCTGTTTGAAAACTTCTAACAAAAATACTGTCTGTACAAAAAACTGTTTACTATTTTAAATAAAACCTCCATCTGCAGAGTGGGAACAAATATACAGGCACAAGGTGTGAAAGAGTGATGAAGGTGTAGAAAGAGATAAGTGTGAAGCTGAATGTGAAACAGAGAAACACATTAACCTCCAGGGGTTTAGCAGCCTAACAAGGAAATAGAGAAAAAGGTAAGCACAGTCTGAGAGAAATCGAGACAGTGAGAGTTTGAAAAGAAACCATAATCATCTCCTCAACTGTGGGTTTTCATGTGTAACCCTCAAGAGAAGGTCCAATCTCTCTGTCCAATCGTTCACATAAAAAAGGATTCACATCTGTGTTCATTATGTCACGCTTTGTGTTAAACTGGGGAGCCGGTAACAATGCCACTAATTCATTTGGCATATTCTGGATGCACCTCTTTAGAAAATGATGAAATTCAACTGTGGCAGATAGTGGAGAGGCTACGGTTGCTATAAAATCTTTTGCAGCTTGTAAGAGTTGAAATTCAGCAACTTTGAGCTAAATCAAAGTAACTGACATCATATTTTCTCAAAGGGAAACATGTCTTTCTTGTCCTCTCTTTTCTCGCTTTGTTGTCCTCTTAAGTCCGCTAAAGCCCCCGCCCTCTTCCTCTGCTTGTCTGTTCTGGGGCCACGACATGGCCAGTATTTCAGCTGCAGTCTTAGCTCCAGAACTGCCATCCTTAACAGCCTCCTCATCAGAGGAAAACCCACAGCCCTCCTCTCCATGAGTGAGGTCGGCCAGTCCCTGGTTCTTCTTGCCGAAGCGCTGCTTGAGCTTTTCCCTGATCAAGAGTCCCTTCACTAGCAAGGTCCAGTTAGAGATCACCCTCTTTTCTCTCTTCTGAAAAACGGAAGAAATGGAGAGGTTACAAAGTGTCTCAGAAGGAAACAGGGTTTTGAAATCAAAAGCTGAGCTTTAACACACGAGTAAGCTAGTTATTCAAGGACTTTCTGTATCAGTTTTACATGGTCAGGATAAATCAAAGAGTTACAACTTTGTAAAAAGGTGTAATAGTTTTGAAGTTTCCAGTAGTTTTTGATGAGTTTGATGTTTTTAGTTAAGTTTGCTAGTACAAAAAAGGGAAAATGACATCAGTCGGTGTGCTCGTACTTTGATCGTGTAGTGCATTAAACAAATTAACAATGAAACTGAAGTCATCTCTTTTTAAATTTTCTTTCATTTCAAGTTTTGCAGTTTTGCAAATACGGGACACTTATTTTTCTGTAAAGACTTCTTTTCTTTTTAACCCTGTACACAAAAATGTTTTTGACAATTTTGTTTCCTTTTTTTTGTTGGTTGACATCAACAGTAGTCACACAAACACACACCTCTTTTTCCTTCTGTTTCTGAAGCTCTTGTTCTTCCTCCCAGGCAGCTCTGAGCACCTCCTCATGCTCCTCACACACGATGTAACCATCAGTCCTGATTAACAAAGAACATGTTTGCTTCATTAGCATGATTTTACAGGAACAGACTTTCATACTTCCTTTTGTAGCTGGGACTAAAATCCACAGAGACCATCTGAGTATATATCACCTTGTGCAGGGTTTGTGTGTGTTTCATATTTTCAAATGTAATGTTACACTGTGCTAATACTAAAGAGTGGATTGTTTAAGCACAGAAAACAAACAGCTCCACAGAAAATGCTAAAAGTTGTACTAAAATAAATCAGTACTTTGATAGTGGCAGTTCCAGCTGTGCAATAAAATACCACAGCAATAAAAGTGAGAGTTTAGACTAATCTCTATGATACCACAGATATGGGATTGCTGAGGCAGATACCCCACAGAAGCATGTGGGGTAACATAGAAAAAAGCAACAGAGAGAAATTTCTTTGCCCACAAACATTTTGACCAAGATCATCCAAGCTTGTTTTCAGATTTCTAACAGAGAATAAAAGGACGCAGATGGTATTCAGTGTCTAAAGACACTTGCTAGTACTCCTCATTCTAAAAGGCTTTCTGGCTACAAAGACAAGAGCACTTAAGATGAAGTGAATATACAGTGTTGTTGTTGCACCCTTAGGCTGGAGTGGGTCTAAATTTAACTCTACTGATATCATCTCCCAGCATTTCTGGAATAAACAGATTCTGTCTCAGCTGGAGGTTTCTCAAGGTTTTCTTACACAGCATGTGAGTATCCTCCATGGGAATCAAAGCCTGTGATTGCGGGGGCAGCATCGATGTCCAGCTTCCTGGCCACACGTTGCAGGTTTGGCAGCCTCAGGTGAACACAGCCCACAGGTAACATACAGGGCTTAAACAGGTTGACATTACCATATTCATTACGAGGAACCTGAAAATAACAGAAACAGAGAGCATGATAACAGTACTGTGGTAAATATCGAAGTACAAGCAACTTTGAATGTCAAGTTTTGTCATCTTTCAACTCAGCTTCTTCTTTTGACAGCAAGAAAATGGAGGTCACATTTTTTGGCAAGCTTGTATGTGCAGCAGCGGTCAACTATACTCCAACACAGACATAACTTAAGTGTATGAAGATAATTACCTTCCCATCTACAGCAATGGGTGGCTGATACTCTTCAGTCTGCCATTCTCCAAACAGAGCCAGGTCATTCTCCTCCTTCTGCTCCGATATCTTCCTGGCCCTACGGGAATGATTAGAAAGGCCCCTCACCATCTAATGAAGAGCAACACAGGGACATGGTCACACACACAGTCTCACTATGTAAGCTGATAACTTAGACAAAATAATGATAACAGTTTTATAATACTGACAGTTCAAAAGCAAAACTACTAAACTTGAGTTAACATTTTGATAACTTTTGTAAGAGCAGATGTTTAAATATAAGGCTCAGTAAAAAATGCTACAGGAGACATTTGGAGTTCTGCCCAGCAATCTGACATTAAGAAATTAATAATAACTGTTAATGACAGTCAAGCAGATGACTACATGATGAAAAGTAATGCAGTCATGTATTATATCCAGAGGCTTTGTACAGTTTCTTTCAAACAAAAAAGAAATCTAACTCTTTTATTATTAATGTGAAAATCCTCCATGCAGACCTTAAAGGTGGGGTAGGCAGGATTCTGTTAAAGAAGCATCATTTTTTGTGGTGTATATACAAAAAAGCTTTTAATGTCAGTCGATAGTTATTAGTTATTAATGACATTTGGTAATATAATGATATCGCTGTTTTTGTTATGTCTGTGTAGTCAACATTTTAAATTTTTGAGTGGCCCGCTCTTTCTGACAAAGCCATTCTCCGTCTCCCGCAACCTGATTGGTTGTGAGGCAGACGCTGCTCCTTAGTGCTGATTGGCTGTGAGGCTGCTCCCGTGTGGTTCATAAGCCCAAACAAAGTTAGCATGCTACAACATCAGAAAGTAGAAACCAACCACAAAGTACGGAAAATTGTGTTGACCAATTTTGACATAAATGAGGAGTAACCTCATGAACCGTGACATCAAAACAAAAGCTTGGTCACAGTCAGTGGTTAAAAGGAAATCCACACCCCACAGATGTTGATTGATTGATTGATTGATTTGATTGATTTTATTAAGATCCCCATTAGCTGTTACACTAGGTAGCAGCTACTCTTCCTGGGGTCCATTAAAAACAATAAAATGAACAATTACATCAATTAAAAATATTGATAGTCATAATAATGAAAAAGAAAAAAAGTCATAACAACAAAACACTAACAAAATCAATACAAAACCATAATCCCAATAACAACAAAATAACACTTATAACAAGTCAGATATAACAACCCTGTAAAACTTAAAAATATCCATGGACAGGGAGGAAATCAAAACTGACCATAATTATTGATTTTTAAGATATTTTTTAAAACTGTGTGTGGTTTTAATACTTCTGGCAATGTCAGGTAACATGTTCCAAGAAAAAATGGCTCTGTATAAGACTGTTTTACATAAAGCATGATTTTGGAAAAGGTAAAACAAATAAGCCCTTTGTAACCTGTCTTGTGTGATGATTATGGATGTCGTGAATATGAGAGATTTGAGAAAAAAATATACAGGCTTGTGTAAGGAAAAAAACATTATGAAAAAAAGTAAGAAGGTTACAGGACAGCCGGTCCTCCACAGTTAGCCACTGGAGCTTGGAGTGCATGCTTTTAACACTGGTTCTGAAAGGGCAGCCTAAGACCAGACGTGCGGCTCGGTTTTACACGAGTTGAAGTTTATGTAAGTCTTTTTTAGAAGTACAAGACCATACAATAGAGCAGTAGTCCAGGTGAGTAAGTACCAGTGCCTGGGTGACAAGTTTTATTGTGTGATCATTCAGGTACATGGCACATCTTTTAATTACTGAGATGGCTCTGCCCATTTTTTGAACAATATTATCAGTATGTGTGGACCACGATAGTTTCTCATCAATAGTCAGTCCTAAGAGTTTGACCTTACGCACCTGCTCAAGAGCAGTGTTCTTAATATATAAGGAGAGATGAAGATTCCTTCTGAGGATGGGGTTAGAACTGAAGGTGATACATTTAGTTTTTGGTATATTAAGTGCAAGTCTGTTGTTTTCGACCCATTCAGAGACAGAGTCAAGTCCCTTCTGAAGGAGACAATTAAGTTCACTATAACTGTCTGCTGCAGCATGCACAGTGGAATCATCCGCATACATGGTCATAGTTGCACTATTCAAAACCAGTGGCAGATCATTAGTAAAAATAGAAAATAATAAAGGACCAAGGCAACTCCCCTGTGGAATGCCACACTCAAGTTGTTTAAAAGAGGAAAAGTTACCATTAAAATATACACATTGCATTCTGGAATACAGGTAGCTCTTTACCCATCCCATGGCATTCAGACTGAACCCATATGCACTGAGTTTTGCTAACAGAACCCTGTGATCGATTAGATCAAATGCAGCATTGAAATAAATCAGTACAGCACCTATAATTTTCCTGTTATCCATATGACTGAGCCATTCATCAGTCATTTGAGAAAGGGCTGTCGCTGTTGATTGGCCTTGCTTATAAGCATGTTGGTAAATTGAATCTATTCTATTAGAGGTAAAGTATATCAATATTTGATTAACTACAATTCTCTCCAAAATCTTACTGAGCACAGGAAGAATGCTGATTGGTCTACAATTGGACCCATTAAATGCATTCTTTTTATTCTTTATGATAGGGATTACTTTAGCTGCTCGCCAAGCTCGAGGAAAAACACCATCCCTGAGACTGCAATTAAAGATGTGACACACGGGTACTGAAATATATTCTGCCATAATTTTTATCAGTCTGCCGTCAATGTTATCAAGACCAAATTGTGTGTTATTTTTTACTGACATCAAAAGCTGTTTTACCTCTTCAACTGATACAGGTTTCAGTGAGAATGTACATTTTTTATTACTCATGATATTATCTGTGATTAAATAGGTAGAGTTTCTCATGTCATCAGTAGTACAGCTCATCTTACTCCTTAGATTTGACACCTTGTCAGTGAAATAAGTGTTGAAGTAGTCAGCAATTTCTGAAGGTTTTGTCAAATGTACACCATCAGCCTCAACAAGTAAGGGGAAACTATTACTACACCTGCCAAGTATAGTATTACAAGTTGCCCATAGTTTCTCCCCATTGTTCTTGTGTTCAGATAGTTTTTCCTGAAAATATGCCTTTTTCTTCAATCTATTCATTTTAGCAACACTGTTTCTTAATTTCTTATACTTTATCCAGTCCATAGGGTCATTTGATCTGGCAGATGCTAAGTTAGTATTATCTCTGTCAGACATTGTGCCTCTCAATTCATTGTGAATCCAAGGAGCAGAGTTGCCTCATACAGTGAACTTTCTAAGCGGAGCATGCTTGTAAATTACTTTCAGTACCAGGTCTGTGAAGAGCTCAAGAGCAACGTCAGTCTCCTGTATGGTACATATCCTATGCCAACTCAACTCCTGTATTTCTTTTACAAAATTCTCCTCATTGAAAGATCTATATATTCTCTGAAATAGAATTTTGGGTCCAGCTTTAGACATTTTAGTTTTCCTCACAGTGACTACAATATTATGGTCATTAAATCCTATGGGGATAGAATAGGCCTTGGAGCAAAGTTCACTGGCGTTGGTATAAATATGGTCTATACATGTAGAAGAGACAGTCCCAGTGATGCAACAGGAAATTCTTGTTGGCAGATTGACAATCTGAGTCACATTACATACATTCGCAGTGACAAGTAGCCCATTTTTTAAAGTGCAGGTCTTAGATTTCCAGTCAATATTTAGATCACCTAGGAAATATGTCTCCTTGTTCCTTGTTTTTGGTTTTCCCTAGTCCGCAGTTATGATGCATATTTTGAGCGATAAAAAAATTGGTTTATTTAATGTTACAAGCGCATTATAATCTTTGAATTTAGAATTACACAAAAAAACTAAACTAAAATAAATGCAAATTAAATATTTATTATTTATTTTCCAAATCCACAGGGAGCAGCAGCTTAGGGGAGAAAGAGCCGCTTGCGACTCCAGAGCCGTGGGTTGCCAACCCCTGCCCTAGGGGATGAATAAAGCTATATTGAATTGAATTGATCATTCAGACCCCGTACACCCCATAAACTGACGTCTCAAACTCACCACATTAGACTTTTTTAAGGACATGTTTCAACATCCGTGGGGTGTGGATTTCCTTTTAAAACCACTGACTGTGACCAAGCTTTTGTTTTGATGTCACGGTTCATGGGGTTACTCCTCATTTATGTCAAAATTGGTCATGACTCAAAAAAAAGACTGTTTAACTGAATTAACTAAAGATAAGAGTAAGTTTAACTAGAGTGAAACAAGAGCATGAAACAAAAACATACTCAAAGCAGAGAGTAAATGTTGAAAGTGAAAAAAGAGCAGATTTAGGAATTCCCTATCACCTTGTATGGCTCCTCTCCAAGTCTGACCGCCCTTGCTTCTTTTAGCCAGGTGTCTCTGGAGTGGAGGGTGTGCACACAGTCCCTACAGAAACAGAAAAGACACCAGAGTAACACAAAACAATGGAGTTAAGATCATGAATTTTGCTTGTAGAGTACGTTGTTTTGCAGAAGGACTAAAACACTGAGTGCACAATACAGTTTAAATAATCAAACAGCACCATCAGGTGGACACTGACACATGATGATTTCTTCAAACACAGAAACCAGAAATCAGCCAGTTTGGTCCAAGTGCATGTTTGTTGATACAATTTGTGACATCCTTGTAATTCTTAACTGAATACAGTTACATTTTCTTTTTACATGGGGAACAGAGCTTGGCTTAGACAGTATATCTGCAATAGTAAAGCAGACTGAGCACCTGAAACAGGAAATATCAACACTTTTATGGCATCTGTTGAACAACTGACCTGGAGTACACAGGCTCTCCCCTGCAGTATCCCAGTATCGTGGCAGTTGAGGGGTAGATGGCTTCATACTTCAGCAGGTGTCTCTTTAAAGCATATAGCGGGTGGTTCTTATACTCCCCTACTGAGATGGGCAGGGGTTTATTCAGCAGCTTGTTCTGGAGCTGAGCAGTCGACATGCAGATGGTATAGAAGGAAATGTGTGGTATCAGTTAGTAACAAGGACTTCTTTCTTGCACCAGGGGTATTTTCTAATCCTTTCAAACATGAAATAAAGAAATCCACTCTTGTTGGGATCAGATCAGAAAGATCTGTTATAACATACCAAGCTTTGTAAGGAGTGCCTTCTTTACTGTTGTTTACATGATTACTGTATATGAGAAAACACACTTCCAAAACTCAGCCCAAACTGAAACAGTGATAAGATTGGCAAAATACCGTAATTGTAGAGCGGGCACATTACTACATAAAGAAGCCATTCAGAAAAGGTTTGTCGATTGATTCAGGCTGGTCTTGTTTGTTTTAAAGGGATATTCCAGTGTAAAATTAAGTTAGGGTTAAACATACCGTAACACCATATTGCTGACTGCTTGCTTCTCTGCTTATACCAACTTTAAATTTAACTATATGATACTTTTACACCTGTCCAGTGCTTTATCTGCTTGATACCAGGCTGAAACACCCCTACAATCAAGCCTTGAATACCCTGGACAAAGGACAACATGTACGAGATCATCCCTGCCATATGTGAAGTTAACAGAAGATGTTCAGTAATACAGACTTTATTTACTTCAATTGTGTGTTGAAATTTTTAACGGACTTGCTCCTCTCTGCAAACACCTAAAGAGACTTCAGAACTTCAACTCCTGGTAAATTCAGCACCAAACTTGTCCCCTCATCTTATCATTTTGTAGCACTGTTACTGCTTAAAGTTTGGTTTTAGTCTCCTTTGCTGTTCCCAGCTTACCATTTCTCTTTGCTTTCTAACTTGAAATTGTTGGCTATTTTATCCTTGCCTGTGTTGTTCCCACTTCTAGATGCACAACTCTTGTAACATTATGTCTTTGGCATGCTTGAGGACAACACTGTGGCAGCACCTTCAGGTATTTAAAATAAGAGTTAAATCAAATTTCTTGTCAAGAGTGGTCTAGTTTGTGTATTTATTTTATATTAAAGGGCTAAATATTTTAAAATTGCTGTTATAGGACCGGATATTATATGGCTTCATAATTTCTACAAGTTCTTAATTCTGCAGTTTTGTAACAATTACATCAAACGATGATATAAAGCTCAAAAAGCTTTTACTGTAACACATCCAAAAGTAGTGAGGGATTTGCAAAAAAAGGAAGGGAAGAAATCAAATATAACACTTTCAATCAACTGGCACAAGTGAAATTTGATGTGAGAAATACATTTTCAGGTAAAAATATGTAGAACTACAAAGAAATAGAAAAGCACAGATTGACAGCGACTAATTCAGACTGTCAGTGGAGTTTCTCTGCATATCTGAGCTCACACATGTTTGTGTTTGTACATCATGTGTAAAAATCATCTTGAGTTGGTCTCTATGAATGTGCACATTTTCTTACTGACCTCTTTCTCTTCCTTTTTGTCTCTCTCATCTTCAGGTCCCAGGAAAGGTTCAAGTGTTTCCTCCCACCAATGTTGATCCACACGCCTCTTCCTGGATGATGTCATCCAGGTGGGGTCATATTTCCTCCCCAGGTCCTTCAAAAACCCGTCTCCGTCCACTGACACCACATATGTCACAGGTGTTGTTGCCATCTTGGAGCAGAGATGATGCATGCCGACACCGTTCCCCACATCCACACAAACCCAAGAGGACGTTTTTTCCAGATATACCTCTAACCACTCGTCTGCTCCAAGCCCCTCTTTCTTGTTCCCACTTCTTCGATTTGTTGTGTTTTGTTTTGTTCCTTCTTCTTCTTCTTCATCTTCATCCTCCAACTTCTGGTCTTTTTTCTGTGTTTTCTGCCAACCACTCCTTTTCTTTTGAGCCGGAGCACATTTGTCATTGGACCCTTTCCTTTTCCCATTTTTCTTCTTTCTGGATGAAGTACCGCTCTCTGAATCAACACTGTCCTCATCACTTGATGCCTGAAATTCCTCATCGCTAGGCCTCTCCTGCTCCTTTTCTTCTTCGCTGTTGCTCTCCTCTTTGTAGCTGACTTTTGATGCAATGCTGCGTCGTTGTGAGTTCTTTGGCCTCTGCCCTCCTGACATTTTTACTCTTTCATCTTCTTCCATATCCTCTTCTTTGATTTTGTCCATCTTTGCCTTCTTCCCTCCTCCGTCTCTTTTGTTCTTCCCCTCACCTGCTGGTCTCTTAGTGCCTGTGGATACCTTTGGCTCAGAGCGGCTGGTCTTGGAGGTATCTTTGCCTGTTCTCTTTGTGTTTTTTATTGCAGCACTCGCAGGTGATTTAGCCTCTTTGCCCTGGAGAGACACATTCAGATTATTTGTGTGAGAACAGAAGATTATATAAGAACAAACACCCTTTAATAAGAAAACATGTGCCGATATGGTGGTTCCGGTAATTCTTTCAGTTGTGGTGGGATGCTGTTATTCAAGAATTAGTGAAAAAAATGGTGAAGATGGTTAAAGTAATAGCCAAACTGGGACAAAAGTTGATTCCAAAATGACAAAACTAACTTGTTTGCTAATTATGTTTCAGTCAACATCTTAAATCAACCTAGTGAATGAATTAGTCAGGAACTTAGTCAGGACTCAGTAATTCACCAACCCATCAACTAAGCATTGGTGTCCATGGATATTGGTCAAAATAATTTGGTATTATTATATCAGTTTCATCATTTAATTTTAATGATGGCAAGACCGCCTCCAAAAAGTGATATTAATAAAAAAAATTTAATATCAATGCATGACTATTAAAACTCATTCTTGATAGTAAAAAAATAATCACACACATCATGTTTCACAGGAGCTCAGAGGAGAGTGAATAAGTGAATCTTCAGCCTCGTCAATTTTCGTTTCTTGTACTTTTAAGAAGATAAAATGAAAGCTTGAATGACATTACTCTTCACGTTCATAATTCAAAATGTTTGGCTGGAACAGGCTTTATTTTTAACCCTCTACTGCACAAAAAAAGTAGTTTGGACTTATAATAAAAACAACATTAGAGTAGTAGCATCTGTTTTTATCCAGTTTCTGAATTGCTTTATTGCTCTTGGATTTAGAGCTTTGTTTCTGCATTCTGCTTCATCTATTTTATTGGAACAAATACAGCCTTAGTAAACAAAGCTGTACATACTCTCAGAAAAATCAGAAAAGAAGTAGTTTGATCACAATAACCACAGCTGTTGGTTTAGACTTCTGCTGCATGATTTTTTTATGCTACTGCACTAATTCTAAGTGAGAGCAATCCGGAGAGGTCACTTACATAGTCATCTGTCTCATAAGTTGTACTTGTTCGCCATGATATCCTAATAATTTAAGAACACTGTGCACTGGTTAATAAAAAGGATTTATCTAATATGGAGAGTAGTGTAAGTGGGGTTGAATTCAATAAATCTGAGTTTAAAAACGATGTCATCTGTAATCTGTCCTTTCCCTGTATAAAGTAGTTTTTGGACTGTGATCATTTTTAGACACTTAGTCCAGGATCAAGAGGTGCTCAGAAATAAAGTGTAATCTGATTTTAAAAGGCAGCTCTTTGGGTTTGGGGGTAACAAGAAGTCAGGTTGCATTGTGAAGGTCACAGCACAAGCTCCTGCAGGGGCGGGAGAGGAGAGGCTGGCGCTTGGAGCCAGGATCACTTTACTCTCAGGAGACTATGTATCTGAATAGTAATATGTAGAAGAACCAGGATGAGCTCTTTCTGCACCCCGAAAACAAAGTGAATGACACGTGTTTGAATAAACATGGGTGTTGAAAGGATGCAGCGTTCCGAGTTACACTTAAAGTAGGTCTATTGTCAACAAGAAAAATAAGACACATAAGTGTAGTTTGTAGTTTCTTTGTCTCAAGTCAAGTAAGACCAGGCAATCTGAGAAGAGCTGTCTGGTCCAGATCTGAACACTTCTAACCCAGCATGTGGTATGAGTCAGAGTTCTTAGTCCAGTTTAAAGTAGACCGCTGCTGTGTCTGACGGCTGCATAGACATATGGTAGGATAGAAATGTTTGATAAGAGACTATTATTACCTTGACTGACGGGGCTTTGAGAGGAATGGGCTGCAAAGAAAGAACCAATCTACAGAAGAGCTGCAGAGACCTCAGGACCAGCAGAAACAGCTGCAGGAATAAAACAACATACAGGAGCTTAATTCATAATCCAACTTTATTCTCTATATGTTCACTGAAAAGAGCTTCATATGGATCTGTTGAGTGAAAAAGTACCAACATGAGTCATCTCCTGGTGGTTTTTGGCTGACAGGCTGGCAAGCCGCCTCCCCATCAAGGCCCAGGGGTCTGGAAACTCCTCACAGGGGACACTGGGGTTGAGGGTAAAAGTTGCTCTAAACCTGGAAGAGAAGAGACAGGGTGCGACAGTTATAATAATTGTCACTTACTTAATAATCACAGACATGGTAAGGTTGACCACTCTGGTTTTCTGGCACCACTACAGGTCAAATTTCATATCTCAACTCTCATGAGCACACACCATTTGAGCAGTCCAGAGAGGTAGTTCTGGTCGATGCGATCCTTGGGGACCATGGCAAAGTGAGAAGGAAGGAGGGACAGAGTGATGGCCAGCAGGTCTGGTTCACTGCACAGACGGTTACGAAACATCCCACTGGCTATCAGACACATGAGGTGGACCTGAGAGACCAAACACAGGCTAGTAATGACCAAAGCCCACATGTGGTGACAGAATTACGACAGAATCTGACACAGAATTCTGAAGCAAAGATGAGATCAACATGTGAGGGTATTTTCACCTTGTGTGTGCTTATGAGCTGGTCTTTCTTGAATCTGTTCATCATCCGCCTCAGATAACTCTCAAACTCAGCCTGCCTCTTTTGCCTGGCCAAAGACGAATGCAAAATGAACAAAAAATGATGATATTTAAAAATAATATACTGACATTTGCTTTAAAAAAAGCAATAATTCCACTTTTTGTGTTTATTGTATGTTATATATTTATATTTTTTACCATATTCACTGTAAAGACTAAAAGTGATAAGATGTCCACTTACTTCCTCCTGACTTCTGGAGTCTCTATCACTATCTCCACTGGCTGGAAGGGCAAGGCAGGTTCTGAAGGTTCCACTTGACCTTCAAGCTCTGATAAAAACCAAGACACCTTAGAATTTTGTCATTTGCTCCCTACATCATTTGGGTCATGCTTGTGTTAACATTATTCTATGATGCTAAGATCTATCACCACAAACAGCATAAATTTCTTCTTGTCTCTCACTTACCTTCAACTTCTTCCCAATCATCTTCATCTTCACTGTCGTCGTCCTCCTCTTCCTCTTTATCATCACCAACATGGTCTGTTTTCTGTGTTTTCTTGGCTTTAATCAATTTAAATTTAGGTCGTGCTGAGGTCACCATGTCAAAGTCGTCACTGTCATCATCCCTCTCTTTCACTGATGACTTGAAGTATTTACTGTTTTTTTCAGTGGTGGTGGTTAAAGTTTTGAAGGAAGCGTTCACTGCAGATGATTTTTTATATGAACGTGGTCTGGATTTGGCCTTTCTTATGAGCTCCTCCTCTTCTTCTTCTTCTTCTATGATGTCATTTCCTAGAGATAAAGTGACCAGGAACAATTTATTATTGAATCAGTGGAGATGTATAAAGGCATAGGTGGCTTTTTGCAGGAATATATTTCTAACCTGAAGCCACCTACCACAATTTTTTTTGTATTTTAAATTACATGTATTCAGCATATATAAATCTATGCTGTCGAATTGACCTGAACAGTCAACACCTACGTAACCTTGCCTTGATTTGCTTCTGCACTGCATCTGACATTGAAGTTAATAAAGTTAATTTAAAAAATTGTTTGGAAAATTGCTGCTGACACTTTTCTTTATGAATTAAATGAAAACCTGTAAACTATCTTCAGTGTGTATTTGAAAAGTGGTGCTGGCAAAAAGTGGAATAGTTCCTGTGATTTATTGTCAAAGTTTATGAGAAGTTGTCTTACAAGGTATAAAGCACAGACCCACGGCTATTTCAACCAGTTTGTCATTTGCTTAGAATAAATACAGCTTTGTATTGTGGTGATGCTGCCAAGTGCAAATCTGTTTCAATACAAAATCACGACAGAAACAATAATAGAATAACAAAACAAAAACAGCTACTTCAGCAACATACCAAAGTGTAATGTGTAAATTGTGGCGGCATAAGTTTTAGTAGAAGTAGTAGTATTAATATGAGTCATAGAAGCGATAGTAGTGTCATATTACAATAGGCTGGTAGTAGTTTTAAAATAGAATAGGACAAGCCCGGACCATGTTACTGGAAAAAAAACAAAAACAAAGGTTGATCATTATAATATTGGCTAATTTTTTTTTTCATAATGACTAAAAGTTCCCTCTGTGGGGTCACCAGCTTTGTGGAAACACACATAATGAAACACTTGAGATAAAACAAGAAAAAGGGTTATTGTCCATTTAGTATTTCCTAATATGTTTTATTTGACAATCAACTGAACCATGTTTGAATGGTGAACTCAAATCAAACTACTGTAAATTGATCATAATAAAAAAAATTAGTAAATAGATCTAAATGTTTTAAAGTTATCTGTTTTTCAACTACTTGGGTTTATTCTAGATAGATTTGCAGTATTATCCCATATAATGATGTTTGGGGGAATGCGTCTGTCTGTCTGTTGATGTTGCGTCCAAAGACCCTCTACCCTGAACCATCAGCTGCAAAACACTTTATAAGAGACTTTTGGCAATAATAGTTTTTTTTTGTTTTGTTTTTTTTTTCAAATGAAGGTTACTCGTTTGTTGATCTATTCATTGCACACAGACCCTCGAGCAACCAGCGAGCAAAATGTCATTATTTCCCCAGACTCGAACATCCATGGCAGAAAACTTTTGAAATTTCTTTTTTTGTAACTTCTTGCTGATAAATAAGGACTCTGACTCTTGCATGGTCTCTTTACCTTCATGCTCCTTCTTCGCTCTTGATTTTGGTCGCTCTTTCGTCTTTGCCATCTTTCCTTCAACCACACAGTGTTACGGAAGACAGGGGAGCTGCAGTTATTCAACTTGTTCTTGTTCTTCTTTGGATGTTATTGGCGGTTGGCAAACCAGCTGAATGGTGCATCACCGCCACCTATTGAACTGGAGTGTGGTTTTGGATTACGCAGTTCATATTAGATCTGTTTATTTAAGAAAAAATTGTATCCGTTTGTATGTTTGTTGTAGATCTTCGCCAAGTCTACATTTTAATGTTTGCCTATTATATGGAGTGTCCTATTTAATCCAGTGTGCCCTATCCTGTGTCATGTCATCAATGCTTCTTCCCTTCGAGTGTTGACAGTTAATAATAATATATATATCCCAATATTCCCGCCATGTTTGTTGGGTGTGTGTTAATGATTGATTTAGCCTCTGTTTGACTGAAAGTGATTTGTAAATCAACTGTTTAGATTTTTAATGACTATTTTGCAAGTACATATATCTGTACATTCATTGCCGTCTATGCCAACATGAGCGGGTACTCAAATAGAACTGACGTTTTTAATTACAATTTTCCAAATTATAAAGGATATAGTTTATTTCATATTTAATATCTGGCCTACAAGATTTTCAATTTTTAATGTTTGTAAGGGCTGATAAGCTGTCTGATACTAATATCGCACTGTTTATGTTGTCTGCATCTGTCCAGTGGAGTCCCATTTGTATTTGATTTGATTTGATCTATTTTGGATCCACCATTAGTTACAACAAGATATGCAGTAACTACTCTTACTGGGGTCCTTATATTATTTTTCCATTTTCCATTTTGAACTTAGACATATACCTACAGACATTACACTTACATAACACTCATACTACACTTCATTTATACAGTAGCTCCTATTCTGTCTTGGTTATTGAAAAATAAACCAATACATAAATAAAGATGAAGAAAGAAAGAAAAAAATAGAACCTACCTTAGGGATCACAAGAAAACATAATCAGAGAGAAGAACTGAACTTAATTTCATTCATGGCACTCCATATGTAAACAAATACACCTTTAATTGTTTGTTAAAGCAACTTCTGTTAATGTCTGAGATTAAAAGGTTAAGCAATAAATTCCATGCCACCATTGCTCTGTAGTGGACCATCCTATTTATTGCATCTGTTCTGCACGGAGGCAGCCATAGCCAACACTCTGATACCTGCCCAGTACCACACTGATGTCCCTTACAGAAAAAAAAAATAATAATAAATTATATATACATACATATATATATATATATATATATATATACATACATATATATATATATATATATATATATATATATATATATATATATATATATATTGGTTTATAATAATACTTTATCGGAAAGACCCCAATAAGTAGTGCAATTTACATTTAACCAGATTAATTGATTATGCTTTGCTATGCTACTTTTTCTATAGGGACTATTTAGTGCTATTCAATTTGCTTTATTTTGTGCTATTTGTAGCTTGTATTGCAACCAGTTCAACAGTATAAACAGATAGATGCTCTGTTGTCCTTTTTTTAATGGCCATGTTACATGTGAGTATGGAAGCTGCTGCACCAGTGCCTCCTGTTACAGGGACTTTTGAGCCATCCGTATAAATCACAGTTTTGTCAACCAGGACTTTCTCAAAGTGTTTTTGGGCTACATGCAATACATTTGCTGATTTAGCTTTTACTTTGATTTTCTTCTGAATTGTCATGTCAATGTTTGGTTCTGTAATCAACTAGTGAGGAATTTTTAAACAGAGCTATAATGTATCTCATTGAGGCCTGCATTTCCTGCTTTTACATTCCCTATCCACCCTAGACTGCGGAAGTTGCTTTTGTTATGTTCCCAGCATTCCTTCAATACTGCCTTTGTGGGATGTGAATCCTCATGTCCTGTATGTGAGTGAATGTTTGATTCTTCTATTGCGCAGGGGCATTTCTTCCATTTCAACCTGTATGGCAGTAATAGGAGATGTCTTACATGCACCTGTACACAGTCTTATTGCTTGAGCTTGTTCTACTTCAAGTTTTTTTTTTTTAATTACTAAAGTTGTGACTCTTGCAAATGTTTTCAACCCTGCAACTAAGCCCTTATTTTCTTTTGCTGACATGTATTTAGCAATGGTCTGTTAACATCAATGTATATCTAAAGGTAAATGGAGTAAAATGGTGCATTTCTATGAAAGCAACATCTGATCATGGAGTAAATACATCCCAAAATACATAAAACTCATGCTGGATTTTTAAAAAAATGCATTTTTTAAAAAAGCATTGTGAACAAACTTACTCCCAACTGTTAAGCCTGTAATGGCCTTGCTTCCAAACTTTTAGCCTGTAGTGTAAATCCCTATCCATTTGCCCACTGCTCAACTTTCAATGTTGCAGCCTGTAATTTATTTTGAATGAACTTCAGATTACGGCCCCTACAGGACAGGGCACCATCATTTGCATACAGAGATTTTCTCAAACCCTGTTCAATGTCATCAAAAATATTGTTTATTATAATATTAAATAGTAAATAAAATAGTAAACAGTAACCAGACCTGCTGGCCCTCACTGTGTGGTTCCCTTCTCCACCATGTACATTTCTGAATGTTCTGCTCCCACTTTTAATGCTACTGTTCTCCCATACAAAATGTCTAGCACCCAGTTATACACTCTTTCTTTCTACAGAATATCATGTTTTTTCCACATCAAAAAAAGACAGCAACAACTACTTCCTTATTTTTTTGGTCTTTCCTTACATCTGACTCCTCTCTCTTTGCTGCAGGACAGAAAGATTCAGAAGATCTTTTGTATTCAAAGCCACTAGACTTTATAACTCTTGTGTAAATAGTAGATAACTTTTAGAGACATATTATGTGAGACAACAGACAATTGAATTTCCCTTCAGTGATTAATAAAGTACCTCTTATTCTTATTCTTACATAAAACAAAATCTGAGCTGTCCTTACATATGACAATAGAGTCCACAATGTTTCTCCCTCCCAAAACCCACTCAGATAAAGGGGGGAAGATATGTTTGGTTTTTAGTATACAACTCAGCTTTTCAGTCATCATTCCCTCCATTGTTTTTCCCAACTGTGATGTTAAAGCTATCGATAGGCAGCTTGAAGGGTCTGAGGGATCTTTACCAGGTTTTAGAATTGGTACAATGATTGACTGCTTCCATGCTTATGGTATACTTTGAACCATTCCCCACATGTCTGCGAGGTTTGTATCACTACCTTTGGTACACCAATATCTTCACTTTGTTGATCTGATTGTTTTCTGAATTATTGCCTGCATTTTCTTATCTTGTATTAAAGTTTCCAGTGAGTGGTGTTTCTTCAATTACATAAAACCCTGTTTCTATTTTTTTACCACTCAACTACATTCCTTTAACACTTTTCCCCCCCTTGTCCTCTTTGATTTTTAAGATTGTCTCCTCTGTAGTTTGTATGATTGCTGAAACTAATTTAATGTTGAATACATTCACGTCCCTTGTACCTTCTCTATGAACTTCCTCAAATCTACTTTTACTTAATATTTAAAACATCAAATCGGCACAGAGCAAGACCCCTAACCCCACCACCTCCCAACCATCAGAAAATGTGGAAGGTCTTCACTTAAAGACCTTGAACTAATTAATTCAGAAGGCCTTTCGTAATTGGAAGGCCACTTTCTTTACAAATATAGACCTTGTTCTAGATAACGTAGTACTGACTTTTGAACACAGGGGGGCGGTGTTGTGTTGTGCTGTCGATCAAGCTACGTCCAGTTGCGCCTGATCTTAAAAGTATTTTGAATTTATGAATATACAAATATCACTCATTAATGGTTGGCTAAAATACCTGACAACAGTAAGACTGCTAATTATTCCATTATAAGCATTTTGCCAAAGGTAAAGGCATATGATGAGTTCAACAGTAAAACCACTTCAGTCTGTGCCTCCACAAAATCAGGATAACCTGGCGTTAAAAAGTTAACCAGATCTTGTACATGTGACATCTGATTTGAATCTGATCTCACATGACTTTAATTACACCCAACCAATCAAAGACTGACCACACTCATTCAGTGTTTGAAAGTACCAACAATCCCAGCAACTCTAACACTTTATTTTTACAATATAATGAGAGATAGATACATTGGTTGTTCCAGTGATGAATTGCTCTACATACTCACAACAAACTGTAATGGAAAGATTTCAAAGGCCTCAAGAGCGAAGACAGCAAGAAAGCTTTAAAATATCCAAGACTTTGGTAAGACTCAGGGATAGGTTGTGCAAAGGGAAAGGGAAAGTTTTTTAAGCAATGACGGCCCACCAAATATGGTTTAACAGAGCTCATGGTCTGTGTTATCAGTAAATTTGAACAAAACAGACATTTATGAGGCATATGATGTTGATTTACTTCTTTTTACTTTTTTAGTCTTAACATTTAATGGGTTTTTGCCACTTTTCCGAATCTGCAAACAAAGTTGTGTTGAAATAGCTCTAACACTCAAGGCATGTGATGTGTTTTTGTGAACATTTGACCTTAGTATGGTGAACTGATCTCACATAACACCGTAACCAGAAGATCAGTAAAAAACAAAACAAAATCACCAACTTCAGATGTGACACATTTAGATCGTCATATAATATGTTTATTTATACATGTTGAAAGTGTAGTCTCTCAGTTCACACTTTGGAAGAGTTGCAATGTTTCACAAACCTTTAAAAGAAACCACTGTCTTTTTTTTTTTTTTTTTAATCTTGTGTGTTCACCATGAAAAATGTGTGCTTCGGTGCTGTGACAAAGGTGGTGTTATGACCGGCCTAGGGGAAACGGTACATAAAATCAAAAGGTGCTCCCCTCTTTCCCCACTCACAACTACGACCAATGTCACACAGTTGTTGTCCAACCAAAGTTCATTTATTTAGCATTCAAAGATAAAGACAGCGATAAAACTTCAGGGTGAGCATAGCCTAAAAAAATAAACAAATTATCTATGTCCCGAAACTTACTTACCCATCCAAAAGTAAAGAAAACAAAATACAGGTCTCTCACCTGCCTCCCTGTGAAATAAACAGGAAAAAAGATGAACAAAAAGAGCTACCCACCCCTACGGCTGCTTGGACTGCTGGGCTGAAATGAATTAAGTATCTCAAATGTAGTAAAAACAACAAAACATGGTATATTTGGGAGCAGGGTCCAGAGAAGAGAGCAAGCACCTCCATCAACGGCCATTTTATAGCAGCTTCTCCTATTGCCATTCACCACTGATCAGCCAGCACCTGGAAAGAGACAAAAACACCCAGGGTGGCAGCTCCACCCTCAGGCAGGGAGGAACAATATGACAATAGGACAGCAGAGAACAGAAATACTCTATCACTCAGGGTCAGAACAGTGGTCAGTGATGTGAAACTGCTCTGTTATGAAGGCATCACACATACATTGTCATTTTATTATGGGACTGGAACATCATCAAATCTGAGTGGCACCTTTTGAACAGACGAGATATTCATTTTGATTCACCTCCTCTCTGCATCAGTCTCCTTAAATCATGTCAGAAAGCCTTAAGCCCGTATCTGCTTTAGACAGAGAGGCAGTGGCTTTAGCTGTCTCTGCAAGCCATCTCCTTGGATTTTCACTGTCATACATGCTGATGCATGCTGGGATACCCTCTTCATCCCACTGGGACCATGAACACAAATTAAGTGGTGAAAAGACCCTCGCTGAATTCACCCCTTTTTTTTATTTATGTAGCGGTGGGTCTGTGTGGTTCACCTGCCAAGAGTTCTGCCTCTCCAAATCAATTTGGTTCATTTCAGTTCAATTTAATTTAATTTTGCTCTGATGTGATCCGTATCGATCATGTTGGGATGCAGTGGCAGATGTGTGTGTTTCACTTCAGAGAGCTGTCTGTCAGCTGATGAAGTCAGACAGCTTCAGACTGACTCGCTGCAGTAAAGAGGCTTGATGGGACCAGAGGACCGTATCTGTCCTGAGTGTGTGTGTGTGTATGAGTAAATCAGGCACCAAACATAAGCATACCTATTGCATGCATACGCATAAATGAATTCATGTTAAAGAGTGCAGTGCATGTGCATCCATATTTCTGTGATGACAGGGTTTTACTTCATGGTCCCCTGGATGTGTGCATGCATTTATTGCCTTCTGTGAACATATAAGCTCTCCAGAGCGTGCTTATACATACAGCAGTGAGAGTGTGTGTGTCTGCGCCTTTGTGTGTTTGTGTGTGTGCAAGGTGACAGGGTGGCCCAGTCCAAAGTCATGTGCGCTGTGCTCCCAGCGCCATGCATGGCTTCCATCCCTATATGAACCATTATTACAGTCAGATAGGAATAAAAAGCCATACAGCGCACTGGGCATTGGCAAGAATTGGTTTTTGAAGCAAGGACACGAACACACACATACACACATATTAACACACACACACACACACACACACACAGAGTCAGACGATGGATGGAAAGACTTTAAAATAAAATCTCATGTGGTCTGCAAAAGAGGACAACAGCAGGTGAAGGACACAGCCACTTGGAGGAGGTAAACAGGCTGCTTACAGAGGACGTTGAACCCTACACACTATGGACACAAAAAAATGAAGCATCAAACTGACCAGAATGCACACAGTGTGTAAATAAGACACATTTAGGCTCATCAGGGATCAGTGATACCATCCAGCATTAAGCAGTGGCAGCGGGTGAGAAGTCCACCTCACAAACACAGAGGCTTTTTGGCTCTCAGTGTTGACTCTAAGGCAACAGGCTTTCAAACTGTGCAGCACTGACACAGTCAGACAGCACCATACTGGTATGTCTGATGAATTTAAACAGGCTTGTCTTGTTAACCTTTATGCACTGCCATGCAGTCACAGGTAGGTCTCATTTGGTTTTTCAGTAGTAGTGCAGCTCATTCTCATTTTTTGATCCCTATACAGACACTCCTTACAGTCTTCCCTCTTTCTCAGTTTGGCCCATGCTGTATCATTATCCCTCCATCCAGCTTCTTCAAAGGTAACACAATTTGTAGTCGAATGAGCGCTGTCTTCCCTTTACTTGTTCACCCATGATGTCTAAACTAGTTGCTTCAGCTTTTGTTAAGAGTTCCATCATCTGGATTTGCATTGGAAAACACTCAGACCATCTTCATCTTTGAACAGACTCAGTTCAAAGCTTGTGTATTTGAAAACAGATGCCCAGCAGATTCACTTGGGACATGTTTTAATTGACCATCCTCTATGAAGTGGTTAGTTTTATGTGAAATAGAAAATTGAGTCTTAATATCTACAGGCAGATGTTTTATGTCAGTTCAAGTGCAGAAATTACATTTGTGCACGAAGACTAAAAATTCACTCAGACATCCCGTATCAGTGTAAATCACAGCAACCAATTGAACTGAATTCAGCTCTTTCACTCGTGAGCCCCGCGCACCTGTTGTCCTCTTGGACAGGAACCACATGCTGCAAACTTAACCAGATGAACACGTTTTAATCAAGCCAATGTTTGATTGGAGATAGGGACAGTTTATCATTGTATAGAACAACGTACTATATTTATGTTTGTTTACCATTTCAACGTGTGTGGCTAATCTTTTCATCGTTCCACCTGTGGCATCTGTTGGTGGAATATTCCTGAATCAAATACCTCGGAGTTTAAAGATTCAAAGGGTGAAAGGAGACTCAATATGAGGGGCATTTCTGCATTAAAACTGTTACCATAAAGTTATCCCTGTCATTTTCCCTAAAGTACATCTCCTTATTAGTCCTGTATTTTTGGGCCTCATAAGCTCAGGGTATGACTGTGAAAAGGACTGAGATTGTGGCAAGTAATAAATTTAGAATAACCACCAAAAATCCCAACAAGTCCAGAGTAGTAATCCTGTGTTATTATTGTTTTCTAAAGAAATAAAGCCCGATAAACCTTTCCTGTCGTGCCATAACAGGCTCCACAACTTCAAGGAGCGGATATGAAATAAATCCAATTACCGAGCTGTCAATCAAGCCGCTAATTAGTACGACTCCAGCAGACTAAGTGGCATCAGAGCTGGAAACTCAAAATAGAGGCGAAAAGAGAGGGATGGAGACAAAAACAAAATCACATAAAACGGATAAAGTCGTATCTGATAACATTACAACTACCACAAGTTAATCTCACCAGGCGCCCCCTCTCTCAAACTCTGCACCGGCTGCTATTTTGGGATCGCCACAGACGAGCAAAAGCAGCTCTTGAAATACGGGAAAAGGGAGTCTCGAGCATCCACGAATCCGAGCCGGGACACACCGGGTCCTCCGACGCCTCTGTACCCACGCTCCACGCGTCCTGCAGTGGGCTGCTGGAGCTCCTGAGCCCAGCCGAGTGATCCGAGCAAACAGGATCCGGCTTCAAACAGGTGGGCTCCGGTTTCAGACTGGTGCTTTGGCTGAAAGCCTTAACAAATGTCCAAAATATAAGTTTTCCCCCCTTACACAGTCCTGAGGGCAGGGGTCGGTGATGCTGCTACTGTTGCCACTGGTGGTTATGTGGAGTTTGATCGCCCCTTTCCGCATCTGTGCGTATTTCCATTCAGCGGCAGAGGCAAACAGAGAGAGTGAGGGAGGGAAAGGGGGAGAGAGAGTGAGAGGATAGAGAGGGAGGTGGGGTGGAAAAGGAGAGGAGAAGGAGGAGGAAGAGGGGGTGTAACAAAAGCCCCCGAGTGAGGAGGAGCCAGGGAAAAGAGGGATGAGAGAAAAGGGACAGAAAAAAAGCAAGAAGGGGGCATCATCATACCTGAACAGCAGAACTCCCCCTGTGTGTGTGTGTGTGTGTGTGTGTGTGTGTGTGTGTGTGTGTGTGTGTGTGTGTGTGTGTGTGTGTGTGTGCCGCGCGCAGTCAGACAGAGGGTGTGAGGGAGGGGAGGCTTATGTCGCCTCAGTGACGCGCTGTGTTAATAAAAGCCGGGCAGAGGGGCTGAATAGGGCTCTTTTCTGTCTCATTCAAATACCGCCAGAAAGCACTTTCATTCTGCTGATAAAGTATAGAAAGAGAAAGTGCATGTGTGACTGTGTCTGAGTGTGTGTCCATCTGCATCTCCATGTGTTTGCCCTCTCTTTCCCTGTCTCTCCCCCTGTCGCTCTCGCTGGCATTTACACTGTGAACATCCAGACAAACAGACAGCTGGGTGTGCAGCCTGGCTGATAAACTGGAGGTCCAAAGCCAGAGAAGAAAATCAGACATAACAAAGACATGAAGCGGAAAAGAAAGACCTCATAACGCTGTAAGCATGTAAAATAAGGTTAGAACATAATAACTACTTTCAACCAAAGAGCTGTTAACAGAGCAAAATAAAAAACAGTTGAGCCAATTAAACAATAAAATAGTCAAACAATGTACACAGCTAAGGCAAGAGAAATCAACTATGAATAAAAACAAACAACCAGATTTACTATCAAATGTCCCCTTTCCATGAATAGGCTTTAAAATGTCACTTGAAAAAAATCACTGATTCAGCCAACATTACTTCCACAGGTAAGGGGTTCCCCAGCTGCCCTGTCACCTACAGCAACAAGGTGGGCTGTGAGGTTCCACATAAACCAGTTGCTGGGCTCATATGGTGCAAGAGAATCTATGAGGTAGATGGGATCAAATGTGTAGTGCTTCAAAGTGATGAGTGGGATTTTAAAACCGATCCTGCTCCACAGGATGCAAAAATTGGATAGATCTGATCTGGTCTTATGGTGTTTGTTATGCAATTATTCTGGTTGCTGAGTTTTGGATCGGGGCGAGAGAACAAAGAATTGTTTTAGGCAAGACGTGAGAAGCATATCGATGACTTTTTAGGGGACTCCTGTGCTGATCTTAACCTAGGAAAAGAATGACTGACTGACCTTATTTTATTTATTTTGTGTGTGTGTGTGTGTGTGTGTGTGTGTGTGTGTGTGTGTGTGTGTGTGTGTGTGTGTGTGTGTGTGTGTGTGTGTGTGTGTGTTACAAAACAGAGTGCAGGCAGAGTGATGAAAATATGCTGACAGGTTGCTAGGGTTGTGGTAAGATTTGAGGATCAAATGAGAGAGCTTCAGATTTTTACTCATTGAGCTGGAGTAACTTTTGAGACATCCAACATTAGATGTCAAAAACACAAATCATATCATGAGAAAGTTCATCAACATTACTAATGCAGTATTTGAGTGCTGTCCAAAAGATCAAAATTATTATTTTGGTTCTGAATGATTTAACTCAGCAGAAGCATGTATATGGAGATCATAATGGGCCGAGAATTGACCCCAGGGGAACATCACACGTGAAAGAAGGGGGCAAGGGATGAGGACAAATCTTCAATAAAAAGAAATACAATCTAAACCAGTTAAAGGCTGTTTCCCCAATTCTTACCTCATACATGATCAACTGTATCAAATGCAGAGCTTTAGTCCAGCAGTATTAAAACTAGACAAGCACCGGAGTCTGCAGTGCGTAGCAGATTGTTGGTAACTTTGATAAATGCTGGTTCTGTGCTTGTTTTCTATGCTACATCTTCTGTGAAAAAAGATGGATGAAGATGGAGACTAACTATCCTTGGCACTCTCTTTTCAGAGGGCAAACAAAGAGGAAGCAGTCCAAAATGTCTACAGGGAAGACATAGAGACACATAGAATACGACGAGATGAAAGGGAAAACAAATAGGACAAGAAGAGGGGAGAATATGGGAGAAACACTTCAGGGATGAAGTGCTCTCGGCTTCCCCCTTTCTCCACCTCCTCTTCTCCTTCCTCCTCCTCCTGTTCTCAGGGGCTCGGCTGGAGTTGCATTCCAACGTGTCGCTCTCAATCCCCGTTACTCCCAGCAACACAGTTCCTTGATCTGGTCCCACGTCATGCCGGGCAGAGAAGGAGAAGGAGGGAGGGTGGTAAAGAGGCAGAGGAGGTGGAGGTGAAGGGTACGAGCAGCCACAGGGGGAATGAAAGACAGGAGTGATGGATAAGAAGAGGAAAAAATAGTGGTCAAGTTGGAAGGGGGGGGGTGTAGAAGAAGAGAAGGTGACAAAGGAAGGAGAGAGGAAGAGAAGGGAAAGGGCTGCAAAGGGGTTAAATGAAAAAGGAGGGTATAGTGAGGTAGACAAAAAGGAGGGAGGTAAGAGGTGAGAGGGTGCAAAGGAGGTGACAGCGGACACAAGAGGGACAGAGAGAGAGAGAGAGAATAGAGGAAGGAGAGAAAAAGAAAAAGGGCACAATATGAAGGAAGGATGAAGGGAGAGAAAGTGTGTGGGAGGTAAAAATATGAGGAGTTGCTGCAAATAAAGTCAGAAAATGTTGTACCCAAGACAAGAAGTCATAACACTGCCAACCTTCCCCCAGTCCTCATTCCTGATTATAAGAGAATTAAAAGTAAAATCACTGTTAAGGATCATTTGCTTCACTTGGGGCCATTAAAGTCAGATGGGTTTGTTCTGAGCTGTCTGGTTTAATAAAGTTCAATAAACTGGAGTCACACAGAGTGGAGAGAGTAAGATAGATGGGGTTATAAAGAAGACTGAGAGGTGACGCAGCACATGTTGGTAAAGTTGCATTTAGAAGTGTTAGCATTTGTTTTAAGAGACCAATAATGACAGACAGTTGAATGGATAAAACGCCCCAGAATGCTGAACAGATCCAAATGCATCTAACCTGGAATAGAGTTACTAAAGCAGAGGACTTTAATTCACACTGCAGTTTGATATTCATGACTTTTTGGTTTACAGTGAGAGTTTCAAAAATCTGTATTAAAGCGACAATTTGGACTATTGGGTGTGAATTTTTATGAGGTACATTTTAATCAAAAGAGAATTACCTACTATTAAGTGCCAACAAGGACACTATGCTGTGAAAAGCTCAGGTGGCAACCACCAGTCTTGAGAGCTTAATCCAAACTGAAGTGCAAAAAACTGCAGTTCCTTGAGCGTCCACTTGAGGTTAGCCTTTAAAGCCCCAAACCCCATACACACCCATTCAAAGAACCACACCTTTACAGCAAGCCGAAGCAAAAATGCTTTTGATCCATAAAACCATTTTCTCTACTTGCACACACTATAGAGGGATTGAATCATTAAATAACTTATAGGTTTTGAAGACACTGATGCTGAGAGTTTGGCACAGTTCTGGGCATGGCTGACTTCACTGTCAGCAGGGCACACTGTAGCAGTAAGCATGGAGTCTAAAAGTCCACCTTTAAACTCCCCCTCTTCACCTTTCATTACAGTAACCATAGGTTAGGTGAAGCCAGAATTTCCAACATGTCAACTGCCATCAAAAAGCGTGAAAACCCTGCTTCAGGAATCAATGGGGAATGTCAGTGAGAATATGTCTGTGTTTAAACAATCTAGGATACTATTGCTTTTTTTCCGCTTTTTAAAAAAAAATAATAATAATGCATCAGATTTCATATAGCGCTTTACCCTCAAAGCGCTTTACATTGAATACATCATTCATTCACTCACACAGTCACACCCTGATGGTGGTTAACTAACTTAGTAGTCACAGCTGCCTTGGGGCAGACTGACGGAAACATGGCTGCCAGTTGGCACCTACGGCCTCGCCGACCACCACCACACAACACACTCACAATCATACACCAGTGGAGGACACACACTGGGAGCAAGGTGGGTTAAGTGTCTTGACCAAGGACACAACGGACAGACTCAGGATAGGGGGGAATCGAACTGCCCACCTTCTGGTTATTAGATGACTGCTCTACCTCCATTCTAGGATACTATTGCATAGGTCCGTTGAAACATATTTGAAAAACTGACAAATTAATGGCACTATCAGGAGATTTTAACACTCTTTTAAAACAGAGTGGTTCATTCATTGCTCAACCCCCAATTTCCACTGCATCCAGAAAGGCTGTGAAAAGGCATTCGGCGACGATCGCTGCTGATCTTTTCCATTCAAGTTAATGTGTCGAATTCCACCGGCTTCTTTCCGGCCCCTTGCAGTTCAGCAGGCTTAGCAGATGATCGCCACGCTTCCATTTTTTATGTTATGTGGCTGCCTTTATAGAGACAACTCGCTATTGCGCGATTGCATGTGAATCCGCAGGTTCTTGTGAGTTCTTGCGATTCCCGCTGTCCAAAATCGGCCACGAAATTCGCCTCACAAACACATCTGGTAGGAATTGGCAGACAGTGCAGCTGAGCCATTGCAGATGTGGTGGAGATTGGGGATTAGTCACGCTGAAACTGGACTTTTTAAAAAACATGAAAATACAAAAATCCAACTGAAATGGCATTAAATTAAACTTCTCAAAGTTGGACTAACATACCTGGATAACAGCTCAAGACTGGAACTTGCCTAAATGTTCTGCATGCACTCCGAATGCACAAAAGCATTGCTAGAAACCTGCATTCTAAAAAAATTTTGATGGATGAAGAGTGTCGTAAAAAAGATTGAGTTTTCTTACATTACAAACCGTACAAATGGTAACACGTTTATTGACATTGTTT